ATCACAGCCGGGAACCTCGACCTCGTGGTAGAAGAGGAAACACAGGTTCATCAGCACCGCCGCTGGACCATAATCCTCGCACTCGCTGCACTCGAACAAAGCCAAGGCGAAGTACTGGGCCAGACCGCCAAAGGTGACCGAATCCAGGCGCTTGGACTTGTGGCGCTGCTCGGTGAGGAAGCGGGTGAACCACAGTCGGCCAATCTCCAGGCGCAGCAGCACTCCAAACTCCGACTTCAGCTCCAGGTCGACGGCAGCCGGGGATCCACCGAAGAGCAAGGCGGTAAAGTGTTTCATAAACTCCTTGACCGGCTCCTCGCCAGCCCGACAATCCAGGCTTATGGAGGATGCCCACGACGGCACCGAGTTCTGCGACTCCGAGCGGATGAAGTGCCGCCAGTCGGTGGACTCCATGCTGGGGCTGGCCAAAAGCTGATCGGGCTCATCCCGTAGGCTGGTCAAAGTGCTGCTATTGGAGGCTCTACTTCGCGATGGGAGGCGCATGGAGTTGCTTCCTCCCGCCCACTGCTGACGTCCTCCGGATCCCGTCCCCCCAGTTCCCCCCTCCGTGGGCGGCTGCACATCGATGTGCGGCGGCAGGGATTCGATCACCTCGCCAGTTCTCTGCGTATCTCTCTGCATGTCCATCTCACTGCGACGGGCTCCGGCAATTTGCCTGGCCCTCTCATAGCCGCCGGAGTGGCGGGATTCTATGGAATCCGAGCGGGTGGTGCTGCTCACGTCGTGGGATCGATTGGCTATGGGCTCGGGCAGTGAGATCGAACTGCTGTCGTCGCTGCTGCTGGAGCTGCTCGAGGATCCGGAGCTGGAGCGGAGTGGTCCAGCCAGTTTACTCGCCGCATGTCGACCTCGTGATGGTTCCAGGCGGGGACCTGAATGAGGGTCAAGGGTAAATAAGTTAGAAAGGTTTCACAAGGGATAGAAAAACAACAAAGACTTCTACAAGATATTACCATGAATATTACAAAAGATTACTTAGCAAATTTTGCAGTACCACTTTTAGACAACTTGTATAATGTTTGATAAGATTTGATGCAAACTACCAAATTTTAAATATGATCGTATAAAATGTGGTATATTATTATCAATCACAGTTTTTTTTTTTTGATCAAAGACTTTAAATTTAAATCAATTGGCTATAAGAATGTGTAATACCTCAATGAATATGAAATGTCCCAATGAAAAATGTTATAGCCTTTTTAACTCATTAAATTAATTTTTTAACTTCACTTACGTGGTGCCAAATTGGGCTGGCGATATCGCCCTGAGATAATCTCCTCGTGCGCTCTTCTAGCCTTCACACGTCGACCTTCGAAGTCGATCTTTGTGTAATCAATGGTCTCGTCAACTGAAAAGCAAATCCATGATGTATTTAATACTACTGTTTTATTTATTAATATCTTTAGGGTACTCACACTTGGGTATATCCTCGTCGTCATCGCAGTAGTCTGAATCGCTGCTACTGCTGCTAAGGGTCAACTGCAAGTAAACGAAGTAACAGAAACATTTCAGTAGAAACTGGATCATGTGGGGTGTGCGGAATGTGCTTCACTGATGTATGTTTCAATATGGTGTATTTAAACCTAATTGTGTGACATTTCTGACAGGTAACTCAAAGACATGTTTTGGAAAGGTAAGTAAAAACAGAAGTGGAGAATATTTATTCTATGTTTAAGATTTATTCCGTTACATTTATAGACATTTAATCAATCACCCAATTTATATTTCTTGCGAAGAAACAATCCATGAAATCCCCCACTGGCCCACATCTCATTAAACACTTGTGTAATTAAACCATCTTAACAACCTGCGATGAGTGTTAAAAAGAACACTCTCCATAATTGATAATCCGAAACAAAGAAAGCTGAAGGAAAATCGAATGTTGTTTCTTCTCCTCTTTTCTGGCTGGTGTAAATATAATTAATTTCAATCAAGGACGAGGCTGCAGCGTTGAGGGCCAAAGAAAGTCAAGTACAAAGGAGCAGCAGAGAATACATATACTCCTACCCCATCCCCCTACCATTTTCCAATTCCAGGCCCATCTGCAGCCATACCGGCAAAGCCTCCCCCAAAACGCAGATTGGGGCCTCTAAATGAAGGTCAAACGAGTGCAGCAGCAAAGCGGAAACAGCAAGAACAAACAGCACAACAAAAGTATCAAAGTGTCAGTTGCTTTTGCAGCATAGACAGAACCCACACACAATCTGCCATGCCAGCCCAGCCCATCACCACCCCCAAGCACCTCTTGTCGCGTTCATTACCAAGGCTAACCCAGCTCAACCCTAGAGATGCGCGTCATAGCTAGTCGTGATTATAATGTAATCGAAAGCATAACTTATTGTCAGGACTATTATAACATAATCTGGTACGGAAAACAATATTTAGGGATATTACGAGTAATACGAGCAAAAGTTGTTTTACCAGTACTTATATTCTTAAACCATCCTTGGCGATCCATCCTTATAAGGTTTGTATTATGAAAGTTCGATAGTATACCCCATCCTTAATCGTAATCTAATTATTAGGTACATTGATCACAAAAGTTATTTCAAAACCACAATATCAACAAAACTTAAGGAAGAATTGAAACTAAATATACCAGAGAAAATAATTTGAAAAAGGTTATAATCCAACCTTGGTGTTGGCTTTATCTTTTACAATATACCATTATTATTTAGGCAAAACTAACCACAGTCATATTACCTTTTTTTATAATATTTTATCGTGACCTAAAACAGTTATCATATCATCATTTTAAATCACATAATGCAATTATAATATTTGACATACAATCACGCCACTCACGCTGCGCTCCCTAGTTAACATACCTTGTTTGATATTCCGTTGAGCAGCTCGTTGCTGTTGCCCAGCACTGTGAGGAACTTGGACTTGAGGGCCCCGATGCTGGGGGTTCGTTCCATAAACAATTTGATTTTCGATCGCTCGCCGGCAAAGCCAGCCGGTGGCGTTCCAGTTCCCGTTCCCGGCATCGCTCCCGGAGTGGGTGGCTGTGGCTTGGCATCGACCATGTCGTGGGTATTGGGATTCCTGGGTTCCTAACCCTTTCCCGTTTCCTGCCGCCCTGCCTTATGGGCGATATCTGGGCTTATAGAACCTCTCCCTTGGTTTTATTTGGTTAACTGGGAGCGGCCGTAGAGTGTTGCAACTACTGATGCTTCTAGTATCGATTTTTCATATGCATGTCATACGCTTTGGGTGAAGGTGAACTTCGTACTCGGCTGCAGAATTTTGGCGCATTTCGTGTACTTGTCAAAGGAAAATTTTCAGGGTCTATAGGTTTTCTTTAAGTTCTACGCCTTTCTGTTTAAATTTTATTTGATATTGGGCTCTTAAACAACTGCAATTTTATGTAATTTTTTTAAAACCACACATCCTAACATTATAGTATATTTATGTATTTTTAAGCGTAGATTGCGGGAGCCTAATCTAAGTTTAGGCAAAGTAATGTCAGGAAAATCGGTAAATTATAAAGGCACTTCTTTGAGTTTAAGTACTTTAGGTATTACTCCTTAAGCGCCCTACTGGGATACTACATTTTCAATTCTCCCTGGCCCAAACACACACTCGCACACACAGGCGCACGCACACGCCCCTTTTTTACACGCAATACGGCAGGCGGGTGGCTAACGGTAAATATTTTCCCATGAATTTTCCACACGCGTCCGTTGCCTGCAGCGAACATTGCGCGAATGCAGCCGGAAAATGCTGGCCAAAGTCGAAGTTGCGTTAACATTTGTCGGGCTTTACGTTCGCAGCTGTTATCGATTCGGTGGAAATTTACATAATATCTACATGCCGCCACGAATAGAATTTTACTAGGGAAAAGCTCAGGCGGAAAATATTGCAACTACCCATTATCTACACAAGTACTCTTGAGAAAGCTTTCCCATAGCTTTACCCGGCGTTTTAACTTGTTTACACACAGCTGGCGAACAGCTGATCCATAAAACATCGGCTTGCGTCAACCGAGACAAGGTCAAAACGTGGGCGTTATGCTTTTTGGGGGGCTGTGGTTTGGGTGGGTGGACTCTATGGGTCACATCCCAAAAATGTGCGTGTCTGTTATTATCGAACTTTGACTCTGTCGCAGCCAATTTGATATGCATTGCATTTATTTTTAGACCAGCTAGCGGCTATCGAGCGGACCCCACACGAACCCTTCTACAGGGGGGCCTTAATTCCATAATTCCCATAATCCCATAATATCTATCGCCCCTCCATCGATATTGCCTTTTGATTTGCACCTCCGGCAGACAGCAGGTGGCCCGTGCCGATACTTTTATTGTATGTAGATACCATTTGTTCGATCTTAAAGTTATGGATGTTCTTTTTAATTGTTCTCATCGAATGTGCAGAAATTGTTCAAGGTTGGCCCGCCGGAGATCCCCATGGATATTTGTTTGGCATAAATCATAATTATAGCTGGGGTGTATGCCGATGAACGATTCAGAGTTTTCATGGGGCTCCATGGTTTTTGGATCCCTAAAAAACAATTTGAAGATTAATATGTTGTTCAAAACAGTAATAGTAATATAAAGACTTTTTTGGGTAACACAATGCAAAATGATATAATTAAACGTTACAATTTTCATATTTCATTCATCAAATCAAGCGTATATCAGGAAGCACAACAAGTAATAAATTGAGAATAACACTCGTATGTTCTGCAAAATGTTTAACAACAAAAATCAGATAATTATATTTGAAAATTAATGTTATTCACAAACACGCGACGGCGTCTCGCAGTCAAAATGTTCGATACCGCTCGAAAACGGTGTATTTTTAAAACAACGCGAAAATGCTGAAAATAGGAAAGAGATGAGACAGGGCGGAGACTGAAGGAAATGGAATTGAAAATGGGAAATCAGAGGAAAATGAGAATATAGTTCTGCGTTGACTTCTTCCTACTCGTGCGACGACTGGGGACCGAGGACTGCAGTAAAAATGCTGTTTAGAGTCTGATTGAGATTTCAGTTCGCTGGGAGACGATCGCCGAACGAGACCGTAGCAGAATTTTCATGTCGCGCCGTGGCTAGACATTAGAGATATATACATATATATATATCCCTATATATATTCATGTGCTACCAGCTGGCAGTGGCAGTTTTGAGTGCGGCAAGACGCGTCAAGTGAAATCGAATTATGTAAGTGACCTCTGCATTCGCGGATTCCAAACGCTATACGATCCAAAACAACCCATAAAGCTCAAAAGCAAAGCTAAATACGCAACGTAATTAAATCGATTTGAAGTGTTCTAAATATAAAACTCAGCTAATTTTAAACGGAGAACGCTCCATGCAAAAGTTCAAGGCATTTCGCAGAATAAACAATCAAACGATAAAGCAAGTTAAATATAATTAAAATTTTTTTTACCTAATCCGCCAATGTTTTAATATTAAAAAAAAACTGTGCATTAAGAAAACGCAAATATAGGCAAGCCAAAGAAATGTTTAAAAATAGTTCCCCAAAGTTCTCCCATAAAAATAAAAGCGTTTTCTTTCGCGGCGTGAGATTGTGTCTGTGAGTCAGCATTGCGTTCGCCTCGGTGGCTGCCTCCCAGGGCATTAGCCACTACTAGAAGTTGCCGATGCCGGACCGAGAATCACCTCGGTGGAGGCGGATCTCCTGGGACAGGTTGGGGGGCCTCTATATACCCCACCAACCACTGCAGGCGGCTTTCATAAATACTGCTGCGCAGTGTGACACAATTCCGGGATAAAGATTATGAGTATGGAGCGGCTGCAGAGGGTTTCAAAAATAGCGCGAGACACTCGGGAGTGCAGGTCCACTGAACTCGTTGCGTATACGCGATGGGAGGGAAAATGGGGCTTGTTTTCTGCTGTGTGGTTGGGTTAGGCGTTTCGTCTTCAAGACCTATGGACAAAATTATTGGAGCGTTGAGCTCGTAATTAGTGCATACAGATAGTGCACAAATCGTTTGCAGAAAACGATTTTGGAAAACTCACAAATTAGAAAATACCTTACTTTCTAATTTAAACCGAAAGATTACTACTAACTTACATTTTCTAACAAATTAAATTTTTCAATATTTTTTTCCTTCTCTTTTTTTGATTTATGCTTTAATTTATTAATACATTATTTAAATACATTTAAAAATATGTAGCTTCTAAAATTATTATAAACTCAAATAATTTAAACCTATCTACATAATGTTACATTGGTTTTTCATTTCCCATAGCAACAGCCAGAAAGTTTTCCTAAATGTCAACAAATAAAATAATTTTTGTTTATAATAAGACATGGACATAGAGAAATGACCCAAACGATAAACTTTTCAGATGTTAGTCTTATTTATTTAATAGAATTTTAGTAAATGTAATTAATAATATAATCTTAAACAAAATTTATCAACATTAGCTACCCCTACCAATTTTTTTTGTTGATATCCTGCATCTAATTTACGATCATTTTTTTTGATATGGCCACCTGCGTCATTACAAAACACATATTCGCCCACCACACGATTTTGTTCTCTCTCTGTTAGTTTCCCAATTCGCTTTTATCTTCTCTACAATTTGAAATTTTTAAAAACGATTCTCTAATCCGTTCTCTTTCTTATTTATTCTCAAATATTTTTCTTTTATAACTTTTCTCCCCCCAATGCACATTTTCTTGGCATCTCTGCCACTTAGCCGCGTTGACAGAGTGAGTCAAGTGAGTTGCTAAACAGCATTTTCCTCTTTCGCATTATTTCACAAATAAACAAGCCCGAAAATGTTTTGCCAAAATATACATATTTTTGAAATTATTCTAAGCACAGAGAGATGTTTTAGCCTAAATTTAGCGGTTTTATTCTCAATCGAACTCTGGCAGCGTCTAGTTTGCTGCACAGCATCCACAAAATTGCATTTTCTGGGCACCTTCCGCACTGGTCGTTGCCTCCGGAATTTGGGTGAGCCAGCTAAAAATATGCATTCATAATTCGCATTTCTTGGCAGTTTGCTTAATTGAGTTCGAAGTCGTTTGAAGTGGCTAGGAATGGGCGCAAATGTGTCACAGGGAATTAGAGATCTATAAATAAAATCAGTAAAATAACCGTTTTCATTGAGCTTAATGAGAAATTATATCTCACGTACTTAGATACAAAGAATAAGGCAATCAGTCAAATCGATAATATAACGAGACGGCAAAACGAAAAAGATGACGACCCATCAGTTGCTTAGCAAGAATGTCCGCTCCATGCCCTCTTGGGTGGTAAGTACCAGTCAGTACTCCTAATCAATATCAAGTTGCATTAATTACCCATTTCAGAACGAGGCAAATGACCGCATTGGACCGAAGCCACCGCCCACGCCACCAAATGGAGTGGCTGGGGGTCTTTCCAAGGCTCCTGCCCTGCCGCCCAAATCGAAAGAAACGCCCGAACCGGATTACGAGATCATAGAGTTCTCCAACCAGCAGTATACTAATGAACCGATGAAGACCACAGTGATAAGGACCAAAACGCCAGGTGACGTAGCTAGGCAAATACCATTATAAACTAGAATTTATCATATGATATCAGGAATATAATTCTCATAACTGCAATTCTCATCAAAAGTAGTTGGCAAAGAACATTAAAAAACAAAATTGTATTTCTCTATCATATCATATTAGAAACTTAACTATGATAGCTTAAATACTTATCAAAAGATAATGATTTTTCTAACAATGTTTAATTATTGATTTAGGATTTTATGGAATTAATGAAACTTTCTTCTTTCTTTCTAACTTACAGATAATAAACTGAAGTGCACTTTGTGTGGCTCGCAAAATCCCTGGGTGACCTGTGCCGAGTGCGCAGGTCAGATATTCTGCGCCTCCTGCGACGACATGTTCCATAAGCATCCCAAGCGAAAGCAGCACATGCGAAAGGTATGTTTTTTTCAATCCGGAATCAGTGAGAAAATGGGATACTAATATCATATATTTTCAGGCCGTCGAGCAGGGTACACCACCGATTCCCCCGAAGGGTGCACCACCCCCAGTGGCACCTCCGCGTCGCAGCAAACGCGGCCTTCTAACACCATTTCTGGGCCGCAAGGATCAGGTACGCCACTGCACGATCTCCTAGACTCGTAGAACCAAGTTTGTAATCTTCGATTTGAATGCTTCAATAAAAACAAGTCCTTATAAAACAGAAAGCCCGCCAAAAAATTGAAAATCAACCACCGAACCAGAAATATTTTTTTCAATACTTTTCCGACTTTTTCGAAACCGAAATGGCACCCAACCCAACTCTTTTGCAGATGCTGCCGCCGCCCTCGCCCACGCCCTCGCACAAATCGCTGGGTGGCTGGCGGGGATCACTTGGGGGCGGGGCCACGCCCCCAGTGCCATCAGTCGCCCCCAGCACAACCAGCTCCACCTCCTCCCAGATGAACAACCGCCCGCTTCCAGAACCACCACGCAGCGAGGGCGGGGGATCCTCCAGATCGGGCACCCCCAGATCCGTGTTCGACACCATCCAGCGTCCGCCGTCGGTGCAGCTGGAGAAGATCAAGACCAAGGCTAGCGCCACCTTGGACCGCATGGCGATTCTGCAGCAGCGGTATCGCCAGCAGAAGGCGCGACAGGATCTGAGCGCCAACAGCGAACAGGTGAGTGACCGCCCGACCCCGGGTCACAATCCCACGAATCCCCTCATCTTCGAGTGTTTCGTATTGTCTTTGCTTTGGTAAAAAATAATATCAAATGGGGGTCAATAATACCTTATTTTTAATCATTTTAAGCAGAAAGTAAAAGTTTCAGTTTTGAGTTCTCATATTATGTTTGAAGATAGAAGAATTATTATGGTGTTACTATATGTTGAGAAGACTTAGGTACCGACAAGATTTTGATGACCATTTTAGAGACTAATGCTCAAGCTGTTTATAATATTTAGTTTCTAAGAAAACAAAATGTACCGAAAGCGGAATGCTATTATGCTCGCAAAATGTACTTCCAATAATTCCGAAAATTAGGGACATTAGGGACATTATAGAAATAACTTATTGTTCAATAGCAATTACAATATTTTTGAAAGTTTAAATGTTCAAGTTTTTGTAATATATCAAATTGAGCAAAAGGTATTTTAAGATGATCCTTGATATTATTTTTTCCCTGCACCTCGTATCGTCGCTGTCTCGTCTCGTCATGTGTCGTTTCTCCCTTTCCTCTCTCTCTTTCTCTGTTTCTCGTTGGTCATTTCCCCACCGCAGCATTTGTCGAATGGAGCCGGCTTCGAGCACTGGTCAAACATTTCACCATCGCCCTCGCATTTTCGTTCCGGCAGCATGTCATCCGGTTTGAACTCATCCCATTTCGATCTCTCGGATGACTCACAATTTCACAATTCCTTGCTGCTCCAACAACGACAGGCGGCTGGCGCCCAGCGGCGGCAGATGAGCACCTCGGTGTTTAACCTGAACACTAACCCCCGGCGACCTTTGGCCGAAACCCAGAACGGCAGTGCCTGGCTTACCAATCAGCGGATCCAACAGGTAAACACACCTTACGGCCATATGACAATAGGGCATATTTCTCAATGTCATGTTAAAGTTCGAGTTAACCGACTAGCTAACAAACAGATAACAATCTGTCAGAGAAAGAAAGCATAAAGTTCAAGTGTTTAAATATACGACGAAAGGTCTAACATGATATTGAGAACCTAAATGTATTTAAAAACGTTATTAACTCAACGTCAAAAATAACTTGAGATTGAGTAATCTTCTCTTGGAAATACCGTGTCAAAAATGGGTCCACAGCAGAAACATATTTAATCAAAATGACCGTAATATCCAAAATATGTCTTAAATTTGAAGAGTCCTACAAATCATATGATCTCTTACTGTGGGATTTAATAAATCTTAATAGGACCAAAATAGGATTATTAAGTAAAAACTCCCCCCTTTGCAGGCCCAATCCCTGGCACAAATAAACTGTGCTGGCTGTCAGCAGAGTCAGCAGCCTCCTGGCTGGGCACAGCATCCACATCATCAGCATCCCCAGCACCAGCATCCCGACCAGTGGTCTCAGTTTGGCTCCCAGCAGCAGTTCAACAACTCCAACCTGTCCCTGAATGTGGGACCGGGTTACATGCCACAGCAGCATCATCCGCACTATCCACCGCCGGTGTTTATGACCCAGCGCGGAATGATGCCCAATGTGTATCCTGGAGCACCCGGCTATCCCATGATGCACCCAGGTAAGCAGTTGAGATAATCCCCCATTTTCGTGTTTTAAATTTGATCTTTTTCCTTCACCAGGTGTCATGGGAATGCCACCTTCGGCTGCCTCCAGAGCTGCCTCCCGTTCCCGTTATGCCGCCTCCCCGACGCCCAGCCGCAAATCCATGTCCTTGCGTCGCAAGCGCAATAGCTATGTGGATGACGAACTAACCGATGACGAGGACTCCGACCAGGATGATCGAAGGTCCTTGGTCTCGAATCGCTCGGGCATGACCAGCGCCTCGCGCTCCCAGCATCATCATCAGCCACGTCAGAGGCGCATCTCGAGTGCCTCCCAGCTGATAACCGGCGATGAAGTGGACGGCGATCAGAGACACGGATCGAGGCAGCACAAGATTCGAGATCGAAGGGGATCCATTGCCAAGTCGGTGCAGAGCGAGTGGTTGCCGGATAGGCGGGACAATGAAGGAACCCTTACCAGAAATAAGCCAGCCACCGACTCCGCCCGAACCAGTCGCATTTACTCCGATTTGGAATCGGAGGGTTCGGGAGCCCGGGCCCTGGTTCAAGCCAAAATCCAGCAGAAGCTTCAGGAAGCTGATCAGCACAAGTCCTCGAAGAAGTCGGAGCAAAAGCGAAAGCCGGAGATGAAAGACGAGAACACGCAGGCTGCGGCGGTGGTGCAAAAAGTGGTGACCCCAGCCCAGGAGGGGAGTGCCTCGGAGTACGAGGAAGTGGTTGAGGAGGTAACTGCCTCGGAAAGTGAGGCCGAGGGTCAGACTCAATCACCCGATCCCCAGGTGGTACCTGAGGAGATCGAAGCCGATGATCTGGGCCCACCACCATCCACGCCCGACCACGAATGGGAATGCGAGTTTTGCACGTTTGTAAACGAGCCCAACATTAAGATCTGCTCCATATGCTGTAAGACCCCCAGCAAACCTCCAGTCCCACCCAACAAGGCCAAGAAGGTGGAAGAAAAACCACAACCTCAAGTTGGAAAGCCCAAAGTAGCTGCCAAGCCCGAAGTCAAGCCAACTCAAAAGCCTGCTCCGAAGATACAGCAACCGAGTCAGAAAACGGCAACTGCGTCCACCAAGACCAATACCCATGCCGCCACCACCACCACTAGTCCAAAGACTTCGCAAACTGCTAGCTCCAAGAACGCCTCGAGTATTCCCGTCAAAACACCTCCAAAGCCAACACTTAAAACTTCGTCGGAGAACGAATCCGACAATTCGCTGGCCAAGAGCATATTGCACAAAGGTAGGCTACAAAAGAGAATCTCATTTTTTGAAGGCACAAAGGCCTAGACCCCATAGACCTCCAAAGACTACACCTAGTTAGTACACTAATAAAGCCATAAACTGTAAGCCTACAATTAACGCATTTATGGAAACCAAATACAGAACAAAACCACAACCCAAGCCACATCAAGTTTGTTTGATTTGAATTTATTGGTGACCCCGATCCCATTCCTCCCCCAAGCTAATGCTCTCATCCGTATCGTTCCAGAGTCCGTTGAAAACATTTGGAATACTCTGGATGAGAGCATTCAGGCGCAGGCGGAGAAGGTGCTCAAGAAGGCCCAGAAGGTATCCACGGGCTGTGGCGGGACTCCGCCCCGGGAAATTGCTGCCGTGGAAATGGGAACCTCACCACCGCCCCAAAGCATTTCCACACAAGTAAATCGTAGTCATATGGTTGATCTGAGCAGCGGATTAATTCACTGGTTAATTGCAGACCTACGACGCCCTGCCCTTCAACTCAAAGTCGGAGGAGATCCCAACAGTTGTGCCAGATCGCTTCAGGACCCCAGAACCAAATAATATGGAACGACGCCCTCACTATCGTAGCAACTCCCAGTTGCCGCAGGAAAATGAACGATATCGTAGTGCCAATGACCTGAGGTTTCACGATGGCATTGGCTTGGACCCGTATAGTGCCGGTCTTGTCACCAAGCGACCCAATTTCATAAACGAGCTGAGGGTGCTGCAACATGTAAGTAGGTAGAATCATTAAACAGTGGTCATCGACAGGAGCAGCGCAGGCGGCCCACGGGATACGAAATGCCTCTGCTCACTGCTCTCTCATAATACTTTAGGACATGGGTTTTCTTAATAATCTTAGCTCCAATATAAAAAAGAGTTATTCCTCATTAACTAATTGTTACTTGTTTCAGCAAATCTCTTCACCCTTCGACATGCCCCACGAAACATTCAGCGTTAAGCACGAACCTGCCCGAGATCCGGAAACGGAAATGCACATCATACTGAAGGAGCTGGAGCTGTACAAGTTCACGGTAGAGGAACTGGAAGCCGCTCTGAAGTACTGCTCCCCCGAGACGCATCCCATTCAGTGGCTGCGCGAGAACTGGCACAAACTGGTCCAAACAGTGCAGAGTTTGTCCACCAAGTACGGGCAGGAGAGAGGTGAAAACACGATCGGAACCGTATCCCAAAACGAGGCCCGAGAGGCACTGCGGAATTCTGGTGGCAATGTGTGGCAGGCCGTGGCGGACTGCATCCAACAGCGACAGCAGAAGTACCGGAAACTGGCTGCCAAGGGGAACTTCCTGCGGGATGACATCGTGAACGCGCTGACGGCGCATCAAGGTAATGTGGAGCAGGCGCTGGTGGAGCTGAATCGCACGCAACTCAAGCCATTCCTAATGCGCATCTGGGGCTCGCCGAATGGCGTTGAGAATGAGAGTGGCTCGGCCATAGACACCAAGTCGGGTTAGTTTGTAGATCGTACATCCAGTCAATCGCTGTGCCATAATGTCCCATCTCTCATTTGCCACTACAGATATCCATGACTTCCTGAACACTCATGCTTTGGACTGCCTGCAGCCTCCATTGGCCATGGGGGAGAGTCCCAGTCCCAGTTCCGCCCAAGCCAATCCCTTCGACCCACTTCGAACTGACGATAGTCCCGTGAAATCCACCTATGCCACACCTAGTCCCTATCAGTTGGAAGACAGCACCCTGAAGAACCTGGAGATACTCATCGGCAACATGGAACAGAATCAGGCCAAGCAGAACCAGGAGGTCCTGCGATCCATAGAGACCATGCTGGACACATTCAAGGGCAAGCCGGAGCTGGAGTACGAAACGGATCCGGAGATAATGCGTATTCTCACGAAGAGCCCTATAAGCACTCTGAGACCTTCGGGATCCTCGGAGGATAAGTCCTCCGAGGATGTGAAAAACTTTGTGTGGCAGCACATTCAGGATATTGTGCCCAATCTGGTACAGCAGGTGGAGCAGGAGCTTATGGAGAAGCCCGAAGAAGAAGTTCAAGTTGAGGTTCCTCAGCCTGAACCAGAACCTAAACAGGAGCCGGAGCCTGAGCCTGAACCTGAACCCACACCAACTGTTGATCCTGCTGTGTACATCATGGAGGAAGTCATTAAGCCCAATCTGAGGGAAGCCAGCATTCGCGAAGAGCTTCCACCAAGTTTTATTTATGCCACAGAAATAGCCAACTTTAGGTTGGAGTTTGATCGAGGCACGGAACGATGGCACGAGGCGGAGTGGGAGAGCAGTGACCTTAAAGATGCAGAACGCATTGTTTATAAAAGCTTTATGGCTCCTAAGGAAACAGTTGAGGAGGAGGTTCCAGTAACAGAGAACTTGTCTCCACCAACTAAGACTCAAGAAGAATCTGCCCCAGAGGTCTCCGTCAAACCACAAAAGACTGAAAATACCGAAGTAACAAAACCAGAATCTTTAACACCCTCAATAGCTGAAAAAGAGGTCGTTAGGGAAGATCTTCCACAACAAAACGAAATAATAACACCTTTAGCAACTGAAAAGAAGACCACTAATGAAACACAGTCAGCTAAGGATAATAATATACAGAAATTTATTGAAAATAAGGGTTTATCAGAATCACAAGCACAATTTGATGACCAGCCAAGTACAAGCAGAGAAGCCAACCGAAGAAACAAGAGGTCTCAGCAGTCGAGGAAAGGTAAATCACGGGAGCAAAGTCAAAAACCAACTAACCGATTAAAACTACCAAAAGATATTGAACCAAAAGAAAATGGAACCACAGAAGTACAACAAGAAAGCATTAAGCAGTCGATTTTGGTTAAGGAAAATGCAGTTAAGGACACAGAAGCAGACACAGAACCAAATTCTTTTTCAAATGATATTCAGTCTGTTGCAGCTGAAGCCGCCGTTGAAACTATCATATCTCCTAAGGAAGAGCTGCATTCTGAGAGTTTGACTACTCCATCAACGATTGACAATGATACTAATCCTCCCTCAGATAAATCAGCAAGTGCTTTGACCAATGAAGTAACACAAAGTGCCGTTGAAGCTGTTTTGGAACAACCAAGAGAGGTTCGAGAGGCTTCCGATTCAGTAAGCCTGAATTCAATAGCTCAACACATTACAAACACCAAAGAAGAACCAAGGATTGAAGATGTTCCTCTGCCAAGCACTACAATTAATTCAGAACTATCTGAAGAGTCCCATGAGATTGCTGAATCTGCTAGCATAACGGAAATGGCTGAAGCTAACACACAACCCCAAGAAGAATCAATAAATGAAAATGTTTCTCCATCAAGCAATACACTCGAAAAAGAAAAATCAAACGAAGTTAGTGTAGAAGATCCTCTCCCCGCCGCACCCATTTCTCAACCATCATCCACAACAAATGAAGCTCCCACATCTGAAAGTCTCGATGTAGCAGCACCCAGTAACCCATCAATAACCAACGATTACAAGAAAAGTCCTAAACGTTTCTCAAAGATTCCTGTAAGAACTCTGAGCAGCAACAGTCTTCGAAGTGAAAGTAGGACAAGCAATCGAACTCCAACTGCAACTGATGAGATCGAAAGGGAAGAAACTGCGATCGAAAGGGAAGAAACTGCGATCGAAAGGGAAGAAGAACACATAAGGCAAGCAGACAGAACTTCCAAAACAGAAGAATCATCTAACACAACACAGGCAGCTACAACGGTGACAAGTCCAGTTAACCAGGAAATTCAGTCTGAACAGGAAACTATCGTCGTCGAAGAACCTGCAGTCCAACCTTTAACATTGGATCAGGAAGTGCACACCCCAACAACTGTAGCAGTTACACCCACGGATTCCGACGAAGTGTTTGAGGATGCTCCCGAATTCAGCAGCAGTGAGGGAACAAGACCCCACGATGAAAACGCTTCCGATGCTGAGCTGTATAGTCTCGATAGCGACGGACAGCGGGCTGAAACTAAATCACCGGAGAATGAAGTTCTCCTTCTACTGGATGAGGAATCCCAGCTGGAACCGTCAATAGCCAGATCCAGCAGCAACGCTAGCATTGGTACCCAATCAACTCAATCTGAGACATCAAAAGTGGTGCTAAAGGAATTCATTCCTTCTGGAGATCCCGCCAAGCAGAACCTCAGCGAGTTGGTTGAAGACACCCAACGGTTGATCAAACAAATGCGTGATGAGATCAGCATGGATGAGTTCGAGTCCACCGACGAGGATGAATACTCCGATGAGTACTCGGATGAATATGACGACGGCGAGGAGGAGGGGTGGTACGACAGCGAGGGCGAAGAGGAGGGTGACTTCGAAGGGGAGGAGGGCAATACGTATAACGAACACCCTTCCTATATAGAAGAGGCATCCACCGGTGACGAGGGCACTGAAATCGAGGACATCATGGAGGAGGATGAGGATCAGGCGGATGAAGACGAGGCGCAACCCACACAAATCGCACTTGACATTGAACCAGTCATTTCGCCTGCTCTGTCAGTCACGCCCACAAACCAAGAAACTGATCAGATCACACACACTGAGGTTGTTTCCTCCACAGGAAGGAGCACGGAGACGGAGTCACAGAACCCTGACGCGGAGTTGATCTTGCATCCTCAGATACAAGAAGAGGAGGCAAAAGTGGAAGCTCTGCCTATTCAATCTCCTCCCATCATAACTGATTTGGAAGCTCGACTTGCGGAACAACCCGTTGAACCTGTCTTCGAAACCCCTCTAGAAGTAGAAACTCCCATGGAGTTGGAAACCGTTGAAGAACCCACAGCCCTGCCCATAACTCCCGCACCACCCATTGTTGATTCCGAATCCCGACCCGTGGAGCTGCCCGTCGAGACAGTACTGGAAGAGCCCAAAAAGGTAACCCCGAGCGTAAAAGGCAAAGGCAGCGGTACAGCGGCTTCCAAAACGGCCAAGTCCACAGTCAGTAAGATTCCCAAGCCCACCAATGAACCCACTAACAGTTCGACAAGCACCCCCCTAAACAAGAAGGTTCCGCTGCGGTCCAAATCCTTCTCGGCGCCCATGGGCATTTCTTCGGTGAAGAGGATCCAAGAGGTCTATCTCCAAAAGCAGAGCACATCGATTGCGGCCAGTCGAGTGCCGCTCAAGAGCAGTCCGACCACCAAGAAGTCCATCAACGAAGCCATTAGCAGGTTTAACTCAAATCCAGCCGATGGACCAAGCACCAGTGGAGCAGCGGCAGCGGCTGCAGCGGCATTGTTAAAACCCCGATCCCAGCCCCGAATCCCAAAGAAGAAGTACCATGAGACCTGCTTCTCGGACGATGACTACGAGACCTCCGCCACAGAGGAGGAGCCGGAGGAATCCAACCAGGATGAACCCCAGAAAGCAGAACTGCTAAAGCGTAAGCTGAGTATGCCCGTCTTCCGAGCATATCCTAGTGTTCAAGAACCGGTTATAGAGGACCCTGCGGTGTGTACAAGTCGACATATATCTAAGCAAGTTCTATAAACATCATGGATCGTTTACTCTCTCTCTTTTCAGATCCTGGCCCGCAAATATGTCGATCAGGAACTGGTCACAAACATCGCTGAAGCCCAGATAGCCGCCACCTTGGTAAACATGAAGTTCTCGGAAGATGTGGCTTTGTGGGCGGCCAAGGAGTGCTCGGACCTGGACCAAGCCATCGCCATGCTCCAGCAGGAGTGCGAGCTCTGCATGAACAGCTTTCCAATGAATCAAATCGTGTCCATGCTGAAATGCCTCCACAAGTGCTGCAAACAGTGTGCCAAGAGCTACTTCACAGTGCAGGTGAGTGGAGATAGAGAATCTAAAGAGATTTGGAATAGACACATTATGAGGGTACCTTAAGAATCGAAAGACCTTTGATAATTAAAGATATCTAAATCGATGTAGTGCAATAAATAATTTCAAACTGAAATTTTTGGATTCCCGGATTCAAGTTATAGTGTAGCATACTTATATACATATATTTTTAAAAAAGATTTTAAGGCACTAATGATTATGTCTTCGACAACTTTGAATTCTTGGGACAAAACAAATTTTTAATTTATTTTTTTAAGTAAAAACTATAGAATTAGGGGTATAGTATTATTAGATGAAAGGTAAAAGTGCTTATAAAATCATGTTTAGTTGTCTTATAACGAAACCTTGCATTCAGTTTAACCTCAAATATATTGGGTATGTTAGTCTCTTGTTAATATTTTTTAGCTACTTTGACCTCTACTTTAGAGTTATGATTAGAACTCTTTAATTGAGCTCTAACTAACTACGCAAAAACATTATATTTTTTCAGATAACCGATCGCAGTATCAACGATTGCAGTTGCCCGTTCTGCAAGCTGCCCGAATTGAGCAATGAGGCTCAGCATGAGGATGAGCATTTGGAGTACTTCTCCAATCTGGACATCTTCCTGAAGAGCATCCTCGACAACGACGTGCACGAACTGTTCCAGCGCAAGTTACGCGATCGCACCCTCTTGCAGGACCCCAACTTCAAGTGGTGCATCCAATGCTCCTCCGGATTCTTCGCCCGACCCAAGCAGAAGCGGCTGATCTGTCCGGACTGCGGATCCGTCACTTGTGCACAGTGCCGGAAGCCCTGGGAACGGATGCACGAGGGCAGCAGCTGCGAGGCTTATCTGGAGTGGAAGCGGGAAAACGATCCCGAGTTGCAGGCCCAGGGCGTCCAGGAGCATTTGGCCCAGAACGGCATCGATTGCCCCAAGTGCAAGTTCCGATACTCTTTGGCCAGGTAATTACAGATCAGATCAATTAATCAGATATCAAAAATGCAGAATCAAATTCCTTGTTTCATTCCTTGACAAACTAAAGTAAGCTTAGTTTTTGAAACACTACTGTGCTTACCCTTCTTAAAAAAAAAACCTTAAAAACATAAATTATTTATTAAGTTAGTTATATTAAAATGAGGTCTCATACAAACTCATACATTATAAATATTTCGCTTATTTTATGTATTTTGTAATATTTCGCAATTTTACAGGGGCGGTTGCATGCATTTCACCTGCACCCAGTGCAAATTCGAGTTCTGCTACGGATGTGCCCGACCCTTCATGATGGGCGCCAAGTGCTCGGTATCCCCGTACTGCGCCAAACTGGGTCTGCATGCCCATCACCCGCGCAATTGCCTGTTCTACCTGAGGGACAAGATCCCCATGCAGCTGCAGTTCCTGCTCAAGGAGCAGAAGGTCAAGTTCGACACAGAGCCCGTGCAGCTCAAGGATGAGTCTAGTAGCTCCTCCAAGGCCCGTGCCCAGGCAAGGTGTCCCATCCCGCTGCAAAAGGAGACGCCGCAGGGACTTGTCGATACAGTGTGCAACACCGAGGTGCCCGACAAGCACGCTGGCATGTGTCGGTAAGTTTGGGATTGAAAAAGGCCCGCAGAATATCTATAAGTGACAGACAGTGTGACAGAAACCTATTTAGATCTTAAATTTCTTAGGTTCAATATCTCAATATTGAGTTAACTTTTTACATTGAGGTAAAAAAATAAAGATACTAGAAATAATTTTAGGTTTTATATAATAACTGACTAATCAAAAGGCAAAGTTCTATTTAAATTTGTAGGAATCTTGTGATAATAGACACTATAATGATTGGTCTATCGTAAATTTAACCTCACATTGAAAAAATGAATATTTCTTTCCAAAAAATGTAACCTTATGTTAATCTTATCTGACAGATAACTAACTAGAACCTTAACATGGTATTGCAAAGTCAGACCAACTCCAAGTCTTGTAATTCTAATAACGAATAGATAAATCTTATATATCCTTCCTATCCCTATATCTCGATACTATTTCAGCACCCACTACGTTGAGTATTTGGCTGCCAAGGTTGCCAAGGCTGGCATCGATCCCCTGCCCATTTTCGATTTGACAGACTGTGTCCAGGAACTACGGAGGCGTGGCATCGCCCTGCCAGAGCGAGGACCCTGGGACACCGATGAGATCTACAAGGGCATGTGCTCCGAGGTGCGTTCTGGCTATCATCAATTCAACGCTTTATTGATTTCCTTTTATTTGTTTGGCATAATTCGGATTTGGCTTTGCATTTTGCTTTTATCGGGGTTCTTTATGCGGAAATCGAGTTTCCTTCGGACGGGGGCGATTTGTTTTTGCCGGGTGATTCAGTGTCCGCCCCCGCCGATGGATGGAGGCGGGAAAAACGAAATAAAGAAAATAAGATCGTTTAGCCGCTAACTAAATTTGGATGCTGTCTGACGTATTTCACACGCGTCTTAATTGATATTCGTTTTATTATTATTTAATTGTAAACAGTTTGTGCGGTCGAACTGAAAATGTTTATAAACGTACCCATCCCTCAATCTCGATCTTTCTTATAGGTAATCAAACAGCATATTCCACTGAAATCGGCATGAGGAGGCGTAGAAGAGCAAAACAAGTGATGTTTTTGAAGCGGTGGTCGACTGTTGCAATTCTTCATTAATTTTTATGATTTATGGCAAGCACTTTTATAGACATTTTTATACACCAACAAACACACGAATCAAACTCAAATCTTAGACAGTTCGTTAGACATTAGACATGGCATGTAATGTATGTACACCCTCATCGACACCTACTATCGTACATCCATCCAGAATTCCCCATTTTACCAATTTGTTTAGTTACTAAGAGATGGAAAACAACAGCCCAAAAAATCGGCACGTGGAACAGAGTGCATCCAATAAACCGAATATGTGAAAATCCAATGCATTTTTTGATTTATTAAATGGTTTTCAGCCTGTGAATAATAATGTACAGATGGTGAGGCAAGGGAAGCCTTTTCAAGATAGTGTATCCCGAAAACATTTGGGAACCAGTAATATCATTCCAAAACTCATAGGCAAGTAAGTAGATTTTCCTCAAAGTGGGCGGTTCCCAAGACAGTTCTTTTATATAATCCACAAAATTATTGTATACTTTTGAGCGGACCTGGTTTGTCAAAGCAAATGAAAGTCGTGGAAATATGTTCCTCCCCTTGACCGTTTGCCATATTGCCAAAAAGGCAAATGCGATCCATAAATTATGTCCCGCGAGAAAAAGAAAAGGCACAAAAATAATAACAACCACATGAGCAGAAATTAAACCAATACAGTAAGTGGGGGACATTCGAATTCAAATTCACCGACGCGACGGGACAAAGTTACTCGTGGAGACCGGGGAACGTGATGCGACGAGAGGCGCTGATGGAGGCATCGTAAAAACCTATTTTCGTAGCGATTGGAATGAATTTATGCGCGCGGCACAACATGTTTTGATATTCGGACAGTTTTACACCAATAACAACTAATTAAATGGGATAAATTGCATATTTATTGGGCCATAAACGATCGCCTCGTCCTAGCCGTTGCTTTGAACTCGATACCCCCAAGTGCAGCATGCGAATGCGCAGTTTTTAGTTCATGGTTTCCAAGCGCGTGGCATGGAAATATGCAGATCACATGGGCTATGATATTTATGATGTGATCCAGACGACCTGGCTCTCAAGGTATTTATTCTTCGTGCACGTGGACAGCCGTCCAAGACTTGGTCTCTTGAGATCCATCGAATTTACGAATTCGTTAAAAACTATGTTTTCTAAATATAATAATAAAATGTATTCCCTTAGGACAACAGTTACAAATAGATAATTCAAATGGTTAACTTAAAAAAATAGCTTATCACTGATTTTTGATACTGACAAACAATATAGTCATCGCACAGACATAGTCTCTTAAGATCCACTGTATTTCTAATTTCCTAAAAAAAATAATTTGCTTAAATTAAATAATAAAATGTATTGTATTACAAATAGAAAATGTAAGTTTTTAACTTACATAAATTACCTTTGAAAAATCAGACTTACCTACAAAGGTTTAAGGAAAGGGTATACACCAATGACAATTTTTCCGAACACCACTTAGTTTGCTCCACATTTTCAAAATAAGTAAAACAAAAACATCACATCTTATTTTATTATCAAAAGCAGCTTAGGACAAACAAAATATTATGAAATTTGTTTTTATATATATTCAAGTTTTTTAAAAAACTCACGCACGCTTCGTCTAGCCGGCATTTTAGCACGCCCTGTGCTTGGCCATTAAAAACATTTAAGTGTTGGCATGCGCCTCATAAAATAATGTCTTCAACTCGGATGCTTTATAAAACAAAGTCAAGGTGAAACGACATTGACCCTAGGCGCTCAAGTTAATTACAGGTTAACCAAAGGCATTAATCAATCACTTGACCAATCGATTGGATTGGATCGAATCGCATCCGAGCGGCCTTTGATTCATGGTTGCCAGAATTATACAATTTAATAGCATTATGTGGGGGGAGGCAAAGAACGTGCAATGCAAACATCTTGTCCGCCCACCCAACACACGGCGTAACCCCACCTTTGTTGAATTAACCTTAACGCTTGTTTATTAGAGACTGAATTACGGGCAGGGGCGTCACATCCTGTCCACTGCAAACAATGGGAAAACTGCACAAACAAAAAACTTAGATTGTTTTCCACCAGCTCCTCTTCCAATTGGCCCCCATGGAAACCGTGACATTCAATGTCGAACCAACTAAAGAAAATCATCTGAGTGACCTTCACGCACAACATAACAAATAATTAGCCAATCAATGGATCGGTCTGCGCGGAAAAGCCATCAGCTGGATATATAAACAATAATTTAAATTCAAATAATAAATATTTACCTTCAGCTGTAGGTAGGTAGTTTCTCCAGAATTGTTATTCGCCTGATTGTTTTGCAAATCTAGTGTGGGGATTATGAGGCGATTTGTTTAGGGGACTTTGCTTGCCAAAATCTTGTATGAACATGTGGACACGAAACTAGATTCCACTAGTTATATTAAAAATATACTTTTTTAAATAAACTCAGTTTACGGTTCTATATTTATAGCATTTTGTAGGTATACATAGGGTATTAACTGGTAAATACACATAAGTATGCTTTAAAAGTCATAAGCAACTAAATAGTATGTACAAAATGGTTTGATACTCGTAAATGTCATCTACACATCAATGCGGATAGCTACATAAATACATATATAGTCTATTACAAATATAAAACAAACCTTAGTCCTCTAATAATTGGTCTTGAATGCACCATCGCACTCCTTACATCTCTTTAAAGTCTATAACTAGGTAATTGCATTAGTTTGTATCCCGTACACATAAAGTAAGTAACGCGTAAATCACACATTATATAGTACACCCATAAATATAATCGTTAAACTAAATACATATATAGAGTTTATATAGAAAATCATCGTGGCGGAAGACTAGAAAGGTAACACTACTGGAAAATTATCCGTTGACGTGTTGTTTTTCTCAAACTGGGTTTCATTATGCTACAAATTCTTACTACTTAGTTATACCAAATTTCATCTATATAAAATTATGTTAAATTCAGTTCTGGGATTTTGCACTCGCAGAACAACAGAAAAGAACCATTGAGAAATGGCTTCTCTGCTCTACAAAAACGATCTTATAGATCCACAAATTCAAACAGTTCCGCTCTCCTTCGATTGAGCTATATCGTCTTATTTACACATTGATATTATCAAAAAATTTATAAATCTTTTGAACAATTCGGAGTTGTCTATAAGGTCATTTATATATTTCGGTTTGCCTCCCTGTATGGTAACCAAGCATACAAATCTCTTGAGGATCTGAAAGATAGTTTCTTGGAACCATACTCTACTGCATCAGATCCAGAGCGTGTAGGCTCTCCACATCCGGATCGAAGTTGGCGTCGCAGGTGGAGAGCCAGTCCCAGACTCGCCGTCGCACCATCGCCTGATCGATGGGTATGTCCAGTCCATAGGTGGACATCATCCGCTTGAAGCGCAACTTGTTCTCATCGCCGGAGAGGCGACCCTCCCGCTGGTTGAGGTAAATGCAGGAGTCCTGGTCGTGGTTGGTGGGCGAGATGAGGGTGGCCGACTTGGAGGTGGAGATGCGGCACTCCACCCAGCGGTCCTTCATGTACTTGGCCACCTCGGTGATCTTGCAACGGTCCTCGGGATCGTGGCTCAGATACTTCCGGAAGCAGCGCATCAGCCGGGGCGAGAATCTCCGGAAGTTATCCGGCACCTTGGTCGTCTTGCGCTGTTCGTATTTCATGAAATTGGCATATGCCTGATCCTTTACCCAGTCAGCGGATGTCCAGGGTGGATTTCCGGTGAGGATGTTGTACAGCAGGATGCCGAACTGCCAGGAATCGCTGACTGGCAGGCACTGGAACCGCTCGTTCTTGATCAGCTCCAGCTGCTCCGGCGGCACACAGCTGGTCCACGTGTGCTTCACCTTGTGCACCAGCAGACCCTTCTTCGTGGTGGCCCCAAAGTCGCAGAGCTTCACTCGCGTGAAGTCCGGCGTGAAGACCAGTATGTTCTCGATCTTCAGATCGCGGTGCACCAGACTCTTGGAGTGCATGAAGCCGAGGGCGGAGCTCAGCTGCTCCGAGATCAGTTTGCAGGCGTTCTCGTGCAGGCCATTGGGTCCAATGTTCGAGGCCAGATCTCCATAGGGGGCATGCTCCATGGCGAACACGTAGTAGTCCATCGTTTGGAAGGCCACTGCGTAGGCGCTCAGGATGTGGTGGTGGTGCGAGAGCTCGTAGTTGTAGTGGAACTCCTTCTGGAACTCCTTGATCGTGGTCAGCTCGGCGTGCACCGCCTTTAGGACCACCAGTGTGTTGGTCGGTCTGTGCCGGCACAGCAGAATCTTGGCGAAGCAGCCCTCGGCCAGCGTCTTCTCGATGTTGTACTGGTCGGCGAAGGTCATCAGCGGCAGCTCCACGTCCGGAATGAGATGAATCTGGCCGCCATCGTTCTTGTCCGGCTTCTTGTAGATGCTGCTCCGCCGGCTCACTGAGGCCGCTCCCGGCACCTCCAATCTGCCGGTGCTCGTGCTCGTCGGCGTGAGGGGTGTGCTGCACCGCTTTTGGTTGTTGTGGTTGGTGCAGGTGCTGCTGTTGTTGTTGCTGTTCCGACTGTTGGTGCTCCCACCGTCGCCGAAGGAGCGGCGCAGCCGGAAGGAGAATGAGCGTTTCTCTGTAAGATAAGGAAATATTTAAAAATTAGATACTTCAAAATAAATCAAATTTTAAAAATCCCGACTACAGAAAATGCAATAAATTGTATATATTTCTTAATTTTTACAAACAAATGTTAGTCTTGCTCTTCAAATTTACACTACAAAATGATTGGAATTCTTTTTTTCATTAGCCTATGAGTAAAGAAAGAACATAATATGTATTTTATAAATTTGTTTATTTTTTTATTGAACCAACCCTTTATCTTTTTTTCCGGTGAAGTATGGCCTTAAATGATAACTTTAATTAGCTACTTACAAATCCGTGCTTTTACATTAGTATAGTAAATAATATGAATAATCGTATGAAGTGAGTGGCATGCCAAAAATATTATTGATTGGTCTACAATGCCTAAAAATACACTTTACTTTGCATTTATATCGCTCAAAATGCTTCAAGTTATACTTGAATAATTAAAATGTAAACTATTTACATAAAGCACTTGCAAAGCGAACAGTTAAAGTAAGCCCAAGGCTATGAAACCAAAAATAGGAGAACCGGTGTCAGACCACAGTCAAAATATCAATATATAATTAGCATTGACCCTACCCATGGCAACACAGATATTACCTGTTCGCACCTCAACTAAAAAAGACCACCAACATAAAGAACACCATATTGTGTCACATTGAGCTTCTTTAATTGGATTTATTTTTTGTTATTTTTTTCCATATGATTTATAGTCAACGTTTGATGTGCTACTTCGGCTGCTTTTATGTGTCCATTTGTTGTTCCACAATGCGAATTATTAATTTATCAGGCGGCGGAACATAGAAAAGCATTTTACAGCCCTCCATATCGAAATGGGCGTGATGGGAGAATCGCCCACGTCCAAGACAGAGAAAAAGACGATGTTGTCGCCAAATTGTCTGTGACAAAGTTAGTGCAGAATTTGCGTAGATTCGCGGGGCGAGATGGTCTGTCTTCACTATGAGTTATGAATATATGGGGCCGCGCAGCACAGACGTCAGCAGTTAGTCACTGACTGACGATTGCTCCGATTTTTGGAATCCGCAATCTGCGTAGTGCCAGTCCCAACACTCCTACCTACATTCGGCCTCATTTATAGCCTGGGAAATCGCGGAAAATCATTTGATTTGCAGCCGAATGGGACACTGGCAGACATCTACTAGGTATATCTATAGAATGCGTTAGCTGGAAAATCGCACCAAGCCAAGCAAGTAAAATTTAAGCAAAACATTTATAGGGCGTGATGTGATTCTCTTGATTTTCTCACAATTTTACCGCGAATTCATTTTGACGCTAAATTTTCATCTATATTCTGCGATCAAAATCGCTGGCCCCAGTCGTATTTTATTTGGTGTCACTGGGAACGAGGGGGTTGGCGAATTAGTAATTACATCTATTCAAAAATATTTCCCGTTAAGACAAATTACTATCAGACGAAAGCGGAAAATACTTAAAGCTCTGGCATGCGAGAAATGCATTTTTGGTTGAACAAATTAATGAACGCTCCCCAAGGTGGGTCCAAATATACACCCGAGTACCTATATAGGCGATGGGTATTAATAGTTACGGGACAGCTTGTAAAATTTGTTGATTTACGTTATTAAACGATCTGTTTAATATTGTAAATCTCCATGAAACAAAAACATGACATTTACACCGCTTAGAGATAATTATTAGGTCTTAAAATTGTTTTGACTCTTTGAAATATACAATTATAATTATTTAAGTGTTATAAAGATCGTTAATTCTAGAACACATTAATAAATCTAGTTGATATAGGGCGAAAATAAAAATATTACCAGTTTGGAACTTGAGTTTCAATTACTCTTAGCCTATTTTAACATTGTTCTGTTCAAATTTTATAGCTGTTAAGAATATTATATAAATTCATTTTTATTAATCCCTATATTTATCCTCATGGAATTATTTTAATTATTGTGTGTTTTCTAGAAACAGAGACTATTCTTGAGAGGACAAATGTTATTTTTTCTGTAGCCCATTAACCCCCAAAAATAAGTACCATTAGTTTGCAGACAACTCAAAGTTTTTGGCGGTTCTTTTTTTGACTAATTTCTATTTCCGTTCCAGAAGTGATTGGCTTGGGGCCAGAGGTGGTCAATGCCCATCGCAGAGATCCCTAATAAACAAGATCTCCACTTGTTGGCCAGTCACAAAGTATAGGAAAACTAATTATAAATCGCTGCAAATCGTCAAGCAGACGTACAAAAGCCTCGGCGACCTGCGTGTGTTCATAAATCAAACTTTCACTTTCTCTCGTTCATCCTGCCCCCTTTTCCTCCTGACCCTCCACACCCAATTCGAATGATATGGCCATTTCATCTTGATATTCTCTTCTTATATTTGCGGCAGAAACACTTTGCATGCCAAAAATAGCAGAACAAACAAATGAGCCAAAAAGGGTCAGCAGGCATTCTCAAAGATGCATTTCGGCGGGCTAAATATAAAATGGAAGTCAGATTTTCCGTGAAAATCATCTGCCTCCGAGGGGAGTCGTGTAAACAGTGGCTCAAAATAAACAAACACCCCTGTGGACAGTCGGACCGAAGTGAAATGTGAAATGCAATTGCAACAAAGGCGCCGGGAAACAATATCAGACAACTTTTGGCTAATATCTTAGTCGAACTTTAGATTCCCTCAATAAGAGAACTATACTCGTAGATCTTTATAAAGTATACAAATTTTTTTGAGTAATAAGTAATAAAGTAACAAAAGTTAAACATATTCATGAATTATTATTTTTTTTAGTAACGAACTTGGTAATTGTTTGAGTTCTATTTATTCCTAACATTTTAATTGAAGCGAGTTTTGGTAAGATATGTTATTTGTCCAGTCCTCGTAATTTGGAGAAACTTAAATCGAAATATCAGTTTAGGAGTAATATTTTTTTTAACAAATCCTCTTAGAGTTGAATGTTAGGAATAGGAATTTGAATCCAATGTCTAATTATAATAATTAATATTTATTACTTTGCCTGTAAGAACTACATTTAAAAATATTTCCAACTTATTATATAAGCTACATTGGTAGACGGGAATATCATATATTATTAAAGAATACATAGGGAAGTTCACAACCAAGAATATGCATATAGTAAATATTTAATATATACCTTCATTTTCCTCGGTAACAAACATATCGTTTTTGATTATTTATTATGATGCTACGCCCCCGCCGAAAGCTTTTAAGTAGTACTCGAGGATTTCCAAAGAATCGATACGCTCCCCCTGGCCATAGAGCAGAGCAGACTCACTAGGCCCAGGCAGCGTCCAACTCTCGTATGAGTGACTGACAAAATGAGCGTTTCGCACCCCGCCCCCCTTATGGAGGGGGTCTACGGGTCCACCAGCGATTTGTGTCCCGGTTCCCGCCTGCTTGGCAACCCGCCCGACACTGTGCGCGACTTTGGGGGCATTGCTGACGTCAATCGGCAAGTCGTTGTCGGTCGGCGTGCCACATACAGGCACAGATATAGCCCCACTCAGAGGCCGACGAGGCTGGGCTGCCTCTGGGTCTCCATCGGATTGTAAGTTTCCTATTATTACAAAATAAACGCAAACACTTTTAGACCAGCGCCAATCCAGCCAGACATGATGAATTGCCCGGGCTGGCGTCTGGAGACTAAAGACCAGAGACCGGAGACCGGAGACCATAGAACCGAGACCATCGACCGGCCAATCCCCCTTAATAGAGTATGTTAAACAATTGATCCAAACTGATTGAGCAATCAGCGGAACTTAAGACCCCACTCTTTGATGTGGGCGGAAAACGTAAGTTGATTTTCAGGACCTACGCCAACTTGAAAAAGTCGGAATGGCTTTTACGTGCTGCATCTATAGGGTTGGGGGACCTACGACAATCTGTTGCCACTTTTTCATTTCCCATCGAAATTGAAATACATTTTCTTCATATCTCTCAGACTTAAGAACTTTTTTTGTATACCTAATTACTGTTTACACAAACATATGAATTTGGGTCAAGAAAGTTCTATTACAATTTCAAATGTAATTTTGTGTATTTTTTCAGTGCAATAAGAGAGCAGCAGGGTAGTTCTTGTTTTTTTATGTTTTTTGGTAGTGTTTATAATTTTCCCTTACCTGTTTTACTTAAAGGAAAGGATCAATCAAATATTAATTAGCTGAAAAGGAAACTATTCCTAACCCAGGTAATTTATTATTAATAAATAATCACATGTTGTACTAGGTTTTTTCCCAAAGTTTATTTTAAGGCTTGTCCAACACACTGTATCGCATTGCTCACTCCCTGTATAACAAGTTTTCGTAAGCAGAATAACATATTATACAACAATTCAATAAAAATTAACGACTTGAAAGAAAATTTCCGCTGCGCCCACAAGCCCCGAGCGAAGGCAACAAAAACCAAAATAAACAAAAAGAAATAAAATTAAATATATATAGGTTTTTAATGTATACAGCAAAACAAGCAAACCCGAAATTAAATAAATAATATTAAGAGAGAGCTCTTTTTATGCCCTGGATCCTACGTCTTAGACAACGGTCTGAGTTTTGATATGAGGAGCAGGCGAATAATGCGAATTTTGTGTATTTTTATTGTATTTATGAAACACGTTTAAATTTGTACAATTTGCTTTCCCTATCTTTTGGCCAAGGAGTGGTATTTTTAGAAAAGTAGGCGTGTATCCGTAACCCTCCCGCCGGTCCACGAAACATATTGATATATGGCAGCACTCTAGAAGACCACCAACCAGAGGCAGCTGCTCTTGGAAAATTGCGCACATGACCAGCACGAGCGGCAAGTGGCAAGTGATGATGCCGAAGGGTTGGCCAGGATGAAAGGAGGACGAAAGCCGGATCCTTCAAGAAACACCTTCGTCCTGAGTGGCGCTTGACAGGCTCGCATGCCAGGGCTAATAGGGCGAAAAAAGAACTCAAGAGGCCTTTTCTGGCCCCCGCACAGTGATGGTCTAAAGTCGCCGCCCACGGCATAATTTCCATAATTTATTTTAATAGTTCCGCCTTTACGATTTATTTAATTTGCTCGCCTTTATTTCACATTATATCTGAAAGTACATTGTTACCGCCCCAGTACATTTTGAAACGTCGATTAATTTACATAAATTCATCGGTTGGATCCGACACCAATCAACATCTCGCCGACAATCGAAAGACCATACAGTTACAGTGCGATCCTCAACAGGAGAGGAAGATTTTTTAAAGCTCTTGATTTAATTTTGATTTTGTAATTTGATTTAACTAATAAAAGTCATCGGATTATAAAGCAGTGCTGTTAGAAGCTTTCATTAAGGGGTCGGCTGTAACATTCTTTAAAAAATCTAAATATACGAGAGTACAAAGAAACAAAACACCACAAGTTGCTGCGTCTGAACAATAAAGTTCCGTAGTAACAATATTAAACCTAATCTAGTTCCAACAGCGGGTTAACTATTAATTGGTACTCGACTGCGTCTTAAGAACAATAAAGTTCCGCAGTCCCGTACATTAACAATAATCGTGACACGAACTTTAAATCAACTGCGACATTTATAATCAGTGTATACACACCAACCGAAGACAGAAACTGACAAATAGATTCTTCCGAAGACACTCCGCGTATTGGTGTTAGTGTTTCGTGGTAAAAAAACCAAAAAGAACAAAACTATATTCTGATTCCACGGTTTGCCTTTCTGCCAACTAAGGCTGTGAGTAGGGGCATAGCTTGCGAAAGCAAATAAATTTTCCCCCAACAGGCAGAGAAGCTCACAACCGAAATCAATTTCGCGAACAATTAAAAATGCTTCCACGGGGAGATGATACCACGATATGCGGTGCTTGCAAAAAAGATCGACCCGGGAAAGACATAATATGGGTTCAATGTGATAATTGCAAGACCTGGTACCATTTCTCTTGTGTGCGTGAAGAAAGCGCAAATAACCTTAAAGGCTGGGCCTGCCCTCCTTGCGAGAAAGGTGATGCCGACATCGTGAAGACCAATACAACTGCACATCAAGGCTCCGCCGCGCAGGGATTGCAAAAAGAGCCGAAAATGAGTTTACAAGAAACATCCGGTATAAACACGTCAACTAACGTTCTTATGTTACAGATGCTAGAGGAAAAACGAGAAGCTGAGCAGAGATATATTGAACAAAAATATAATATTTTGTCGCGCCAACATGATCCCAACATGACATGGACACCCACGACAATGGGCCCCAGCAGCGTTCAATTATCAGCTCGACAAATACTACCAGCTGATTTACCTACATTTAACGGAAACCCAGACGAGTGGCCCACCTTTATAAGCGCCTTTGAAAACAGCACTTCTGCTGCCGGCTTTTCAAATGTCGAAAATATGCTTCGACTTCAAAAATGTCTTAAAGGGAAAGCGTACGATCTAGTCCGAGACAAGCTTTTGTTGCCAACCATGGTTCCCGAGGTTATAAGCACATTGAAAACATTCTTTGGTCGTCCAGATCAAATTCTGGATCGCCTAATTGAGAAAGCTAAACGAGTTTCAGTAAACAAGGACAGGCTGGATTCACTTATCGACTACGCCCTTGCTGTTCGCAACATCTGTGCTACCATGGAGGCCTGTCAACTAGATGCACATCTAAACAACCCTATGCTTGTTCGCGAGTTGGTTGACAAACTTCCAAATCAATATAAGCTGAACTGGGCAATGCACCCAAAAGATGGATCCATAGCAAATGTAAAAGCATTTAGCGATTGGTTGTATAAGATCGCAGAAGCAGCCTCCACAGTCGTTTCAACCTCATACTCAAGGACGAATAATGTACATACTCATACCAGCTACAACGATGTACAGCCGCAACATGCGGAATCGGAGGAGCACCCACACAATTCCTACCGATCCGAGAACTCACCTTGCTTCGTATGCCAAAGCGCACAGCATCAAGTCGCTCAATGTGAACAATTCAAAAATCTCACTTACGAAGAAAGGCAACAAGTTGTTCGCGACAACAGGCTCTGTTTTAAGTGCCTGAAAGTTCATGGCCGTAGATGCTCTTTTACTAATGCATGCGGTGTTGGAGGATGTGAGTCAAGGCATCATCCCTTACTTCACAAAGGCAAGCCCAATATCAACGTTGTCACGTCTCACCAAGTCAAGTCAGCAGAAGTTGAACAATATTTTCGTATCGTGCCAATTCATGTCCAAGGTGACAATATTAAAGTTGACACCTTTGCTTTCCTGGACGAAGGCTCTTCGGTCACACTTATAGACGAATCCTTCTTTAAGCGTTTAAACATAAGTGGCACCCCCGAACCGATCTGTATGCAGTGGACCAATCAAACCACCAGAAGAGAGGGCAGTTCCGTACGCTGCAATATTCGAGTCGCCGGGGCAGGCGCCACTAAAACATATTGGCTAAATAATGTCCATACTGTGAAAAACCTAGGCTTGCCAAAACAGACGGTGAACGTACATGAATTGCGCATCAAGTTTCCACATCTAGATGGAATACCCCTACAATCTTATTCGAATGCCGAACCAATGATTCTTATTGGAACCAACAACTGGAAGCTCGCTGTACCACGAAGGCTCAGAGAAGGAAAATGGAATGATCCCATTGCGTCTAAGTGTATTCTCGGCTGGGGACTGCAAGGCTCCACAAGCTCCAAAACTGCATTTTCCATGCACCACTGCCAGTGCAACTGGGACGAGATTGAAAAGAGCATTAAAGAAAGTTTTTGCGTTGAAACTGTTACTCCAAAGACGTTTCGTTCCGTGGATGACGAGAAAGCCCTGGAAATATTGGATAAAACTTGTTCAAAGAATGAAGGACATTATCAAGTAGGACTTCTATGGCGCGAGAATAATCCAACTCTTCCGGAAAGCTACAACAACGCAATGAAACGGCTAAAATGTCTAAAGGCTAAGATAAACCGAGAACCTGAACTTTTTGGCAAAATTGAGATGCAAATAAATAATCTACTCGAAAAGGGGTATGCATCCGAACTGTCCAGTGCCGAACTCCTTGAACAGCCCGAACGCGTGTGGTACCTTCCAATATTTATAACCCACAATCCTAATAAACCTCAAAAGGTCCGTCTCGTCTGGGATGCGGCTGCTAAATCCCACGGGAAGTCACTCAACGACTTCATGTATACCGGCCCCGATTTACTACATCCACTTACCGAAGTATTAATGGCGTTTCGAGTCGGTAAGATAGCTGTTTGTGGCGACATTGCTGAAATGTTCCACCAAATTCGAATCCTGGAATCAGATGCGCACGCTCAACGTTTTATATGGTATAACAACGAAACGCAAGCAATCAGAACCTTTGTAATGAGATCTATGACATTCGGAATATCCTGTGCGCCATGCATTGCTCATTATGTTCGCGACAAGAACGCGGAGGAATACAAGCTGCAAAGCCCGCGTGCGTTCGAAGCCATTACCAAGGCACACTACGTCGACGACTACATAGATAGCCTAGGCGACGAAACTGAAGCAATCGAGGTTACCCTAAAGGTCCGAGACATACACGCAGCTGGAGGTTTCAATATAAGGAACTGGGCTTCTAATTCACCCGAAGTCTTGAAACATTTGCAGGGTGATTCCCTCGATCTACAGTCGCCAAAGGAACTCGGAGATCCAGAAAAGGTCCTCGGTATGTTTTGGGAACCAGCAACTGACATGTTTAAATATGTTTTCAGATTTGCACGAATGAAAAGAAACGTCCTTTCGGAAGAAGCCTTGCCAACCAAACGCGAGGTACTGCAAGTGTTGATGTCAATATTTGATCCATTAGGATTCTTATCCTGCTACACTATTGGCCTCAAAATGCTCCTTCAGGAAATTTGGCGCACAGGCATAGGCTGGGACGACATCTTACCAGGACCTCAGCTGAGTTTTTGGACGAAATGGAAAGACTTGCTACCCCAAGCTACAACTGTTCAAGTACCGCGCCATTACTCGCCCTTACTTTGTATGGCAGATTTTGTTGAACTACATACTTTCGTGGACGCCAGTGAGTACGGATATGCCGCCGTGTGTTACTTTCGGATAGGAAAAGGGGATGATATCACCGTCTCACTGATCGCAGCAAAAAGTAAGGTGGCTCCCCTCAAGCCACTTTCCATACCCCGCATGGAACTACTTGCTGCCGTAATCGGCGCACGTCTATCCTACAAAGTGCGGAGCATTCGCAACATAAGCGTCGATCAACACACTTACTGGACCGATTCAAGGACAGTACTTTCCTGGCTGACGATGGACCCGCGTAATTTTTACTCTTTTGTGATGCATCGCGTAGGAGAAATCCTGGAGACCACAAACGCTGGTCAGTGGCATTGGGTACCAACAAAGCTTAACGTAGCAGACATGGCGACAAAGTTTATCAGCAAACCAAACTCACAGGAATGGATTAACGGCCCATCATTTCTTCAACATTCAAAGGACCAGTGGCCAAAACAGCCCACTTTGTGCCCTTCTAACAAAGTCGACCATGATGAGATTAAAAAAACGGTCTTGATAATCAGAAAAGAAAGCATAGTAGTGGTACCATTATACGTTGAGCGCTTTTCTGATTGGAAGCGCTTATACCGAGCAACGGCTACTTTTCTGTTATACTTGGACATTCTACGAGCTAGATGCAAAGCTGAGAAACTCCAAAAAATATTAACGCTCGATCAACTGACGACGGCCAAAAACCTACTCTTCAGGAAAGCACAACAAGATAATTTCAAATCGGAACTCGAGACTCTTCAATCAAACGGATTCATAAGTAAGCCCAGCGTATTGATTGGACTGAATATTTACATAGATAGTGATGGAATAATGCGTACTCAAGGCCGATCAGACACAATAAATCAAAGCCGAGACCAAATTGTCTTGCCAAAGCGCCACCACATCACTCAACTTATAGTAAAGGAATTTCACGAAACAAACCATCACATGCTTCACGAGGGAACAATTAATCTAATCCGCAGCGTATATTTTATTCCCCAGTTACGTGTTATTTACAAATCCGTACGGAAAGCGTGCCAAAGATGCAAAAATAATTCGGCGATCCCGGAACCACCTCAGATGGCACCACTACCGCCAGCTAGAGTCGCGAGCTTCGAGAGGCCCTTTACATACACTGGAGTGGATTTCTTCGGTCCAATTCTCGTTAACGTAGGCCGACACAAAGAAAAACGGTGGGGTGTTATATTTACATGCCTCACTCTGCGCGCAGTTCATATAGAGATAGCCCACAGCCTTGACACTAGCTCTTGCATAATGTGCCTGGCAAACTTTATGTCGCGACGCGGGACGCCCAAGGAAATATTTTCTGATAATGGAACAAATTTCAAAGCAACCGAAAAGATTGTCAAAGAGGAGCTAAAAAATGTTGAGTTCGACAAGCTCGTTATAAAATATGACAAAATTAAATGGCGCTTCAATCCACCTGCCGCACCACACATGGGCGGGGCATGGGAACGTTTAATTCGATCGATTAAAATGGTACTCAAATCCATTTCCCCAAACGCCAATTACAACGACGAAAGTCTCAAAAATGCTCTTATAAGTGCAGAGTACGTAATAAACTCCCGTCCACTGACCTTCGTTTCCTTGGAGGCAGAAGACGATGATGCACTTACTCCCAACCATTTATTGCTAGGATCCGCAGACGGCTTCAAGCCTCCACTGACAAGCGAGTCAAGCCCAAGACAACGTTGGCGCCAGGCAAACGAACTAGCCGATCTTTTCTGGAGGAGGTGGGTGAAGGAATACATGCCAATAATCACCAAGCGATCCAAATGGTTTCCCAAACGACATCCTCTGGCAGTTGGCGACGTCGTAATCGTAGTGGACGAAAATCTACCCAGGAACCTTTGGCCCAAAGGACGAATTACAGAGGTCGTCACAGCCAAAGATGGTCAAGTTCGATCTGCCACTATTAAGACTCAACATGGTATTATGGTACGGCCAGCAACCAAAATAGCTGTACTGGACGTTGCTTCTAAGTAAATGTAAACACCCCATAGCTGTTTACGTGGGGGGGAATGTTACCGCCCCAGTACATTTTGAAACGTCGATTAATTTACATAAATTCATCGGTTGGATCCGACACCAATCAACATCTCGCCGACAATCGAAAGACCATACAGTTACAGTGCGATCCTCAACAGGAGAGGAAGATTTTTTAAAGCTCTTGATTTAATTTTGATTTTGTAATTTGATTTAACTAATAAAAGTCATCGGATTATAAAGCAGTGCTGTTAGAAGCTTTCATTAAGGGGTCGGCTGTAACATACATATTTTTTTGTGCAAAATAAATGCTTATAAATAGCCTCCTGTGAGGCGAACAAATTTGTAATTACGCGCCAACGAAAATGAATGAAAACCAAAGGCAGGAAAAAAAAACTGAGTGTCGTGTAAAAAATTCATGTAGCTGACAATTTTCAAGGTAAGGTCAAGGCAAGTGCCTACGTAAAATCATTTATCAAACCTCTGGTTGATATGAAAGCATCACGGAACATTTTTAAAAATGAATAATGTACAGTTGAGCAGACCCAATAAATAATATCTGGATAGTTTGCCCCTGTCGAAGGTAAGGCCATACAGATTGGGCCGATGCCCACGTACATAAATTAAATGGGCCATTCATTAGGGGTCAAATCGGTGCGAAAGTGGAAAAGCTCAATACTTGTGAAAATAAATACATAAGTTTCGGAAATGTTCTGCGGAGGAGGCTGTGGGTTAAACAATTGCTGTTTAATATCTCTCATGTGTTCTTGGTTCTGTAATATGTGTTCACGGAACACTCAAAACGCCCATAAATAACTGCAAGTAATGCTAATAATAATATTTGCATTGCAAACTGAGAGATCGAAAATCTGTTGCTTGACGTCAACTTAAAGTTGCGATGACTGAAATAATAAGAAGAGTTTTTCCTGTTTGGGGAAGCGGATATTAGGAATGGGAATCAATTGGATAATTGTTTGCTGATTAATTGTCTGCCATTTGATTTGTTTATGGGTATCGATATAAATTCCAAATTCAACAGGCAATCTTCTTTGACTGACAGGCACGCATTTAAATTAACCTATAAAGAATTGATTAATGTATGACCTGACTCCTGATATCTTTCAGTCTGATTGTATACACTTCTCGTGGCACTTTAGATAATCAATCAAATTTGAATGCACTAAAATATTGTATTTTCTTAAAGAAATAGGCCAACTTCTTATTGCAATTTTCCCACAACAATGAATGCTTTCGGACATTCGGTAAACAAACAAATTGTCATGCCATGCACTCAAAATATTTTTTTGTTCTTAATATAATTAAGTAAAATGCCCCAGAGAAGTAAAAAGAACGAAAAAACATTTGCTAGACGGACGAGACCATAACAAAAACATTTCAAGAGAAAGCTCAATGGCAAAAACATCATCACGTGTATCTAGTATAAACAAAAACACCGCGTCTAGACTATATCCGAAAACTGGTTAAAACCGACCTGTTTTGAAGTGCTCCTGGAACCATTGACCAGTGGATGGCTTTCGAAATGTTCTCTCATCGTCAACTTATAGCAAGATAGTTCGAGTTCCAAAATAAGGCATGACCGAATAATGTTCTTTAAAAAGAAACATTATTTAAACAAATAATATGAATGTTCAATAAAAATGTTAGACTACATTTTCGATTACTCACACAGATAAAAACCAATCTGCGTAAAATATTTTCCATTTATATAATAGACATTTATTGGCCCGACCAAATAGACGATTCATGTGATGTTTGAGCAGCTAAAACGTAGCAAAAATTAATAATTTATTAAATACTACACACGTATGGCAGTACGTATATTCACACACATTAAAATAAAAATGCTTTCTTCAGCGTCAGGAATACAGAAGATGAGAAGAAAAATTGTTCACAGTGACACCCACGCATTTCACTCAGCGTTCTCTTTTAAAAGGTAATCACACAACATTTCTGTATTTACTCTGTCTCCGTCTCCCAATTGCTTATAAGATGCATTTTAATTTGACTTCCAATCAACACCCCATAAAGTATATATTTAAAATAGAACAGCAGGCTTTGAACTTTGAGTTACCCCTAAGTCCTATATCAGAATTAGTCTTTCACATATTTCAAATCGAACAGCAGGCTTTGAACTTTGAGTTACCCAAAGTCCTATATCAGAATTATTCTTTCATATATTTCCAATCGAACAGCAGGCTTTGAACCTTGAGTTACCCCTAAGTCCTATATCAAAATTATTCTTTCATATATTTCTAATCGAGCAGCAGGCTTTGAACTTTGAGTTACCGCTAAGTTCTATATCAGAATTATTCTTTCACATATTTTAAATCGAACATCAGGCTTTGAACTTTGAGTTTGCTACTTCAGAATTATTCTTTCACATCCGAACAAATTTTGATCTAAAAAAATAATTAAATGTTTACCTCGTGCAGCAGTCTTCTAACCTGGAAACCAATCAAAATGAAGTTTCCCCGCCGAGCAGCCGACGAAGTTCAACCCGACGCGATCATTGACTTGACCCATCTGGATGAGATACAGCCCGTCCCCAGGCGCCTGGCCGATCGGAACTATGAACCCTACTTGTGCCCCATTTGCATCGAACCACCTGAGGGTCCGGTGGCCACCTTGTGTGGCCACATCTTTTGCATGAGATGCCTGATTCCAGCAATGCGGCTCCAACGCATCTGTCCCATGTGCAAGCAAATCGTGTCTGAAATTATTCGCCTCCATCTCTAATTTCAAGATTTCTTGTTGTTGTTTTAAGTTACGTTTTGAAAATAATAAAACTAGCATCAACAGCAAAAGATTTATACACTTGGCTAATCAAATCTTTAATGCGCTCATTATGAGCTTTTACAATTTTTAAGTACATATTTTTATTGCGTGTCAATGGCAAAAAGCGCGTCACAAACGCACGGAGCACAGAAACAGTTGGTCGAACGAACCTGTGCAGTCCGCCAACACAGATGGATATATCTTTCGAAAATACTTATATATTTTATCTTTTGGTTAGCCATAATATTTCTCGCGCCGACAGGCGACGGCACGACCTTGTCCCACGGATCAACGCATAGAAAGCGAAAGAAGCGGACTGTAGAAGATCAAATCGGAATAAAATAAACCAAGCCAACGCATTTCTCTTGGATGCATTATGAAATTACATTTTTTTAAACCAAATTAAAACTTAATTATTGCTTAGGAAGGATTATAAATAGAATAGCTACTTGTTGGCCTTATAAAAAATATTACGAAATTATTTAAAGTATTTGCTACAGATCTTAATATATTCTTTTAATAATCCTAAGTAACTATTTAGATCTATGATGGTATACGGTGCGTATGAATAATATTGATGTTTATTTCAGCCTTCCTAAAGAAATAATTATGAAAATGCAGCAGAAACGAATACTTTTTTCATTTGCATTGCAATTCACTATGGATATTTATTAATAATATTCAAGTCGTATTTTTGCTCACTCGCTGTTTGCAATTATCTCGAAAGGTTCATTGCACCTTCTCTGCCTAATTTGAACACAATCAAAAAGCATTTGCAATATCTCGCGAGAATTAATTGCACATTAGCCTATCGGTGTTGAGAAAACACATCTTGAGGGCACACAAAAAGCACTTGTCTGCTCGAAAATAGCCCAAAACACATTACACCGAAGAAGACATCGCGCATACGACGCGTGTGCCGCTGTGGCAATTAAAAATCAGAAATCGTAAACAATGTTCAGCCATAATGTGCGAAATATGGATAATATTTTTTTTAATTTTTGTATATCTTCAAAAAACTTATTTGGAAAAGAACAATTTTCAGTTTCTAGACTTTTACGCATTTTTAACTGCGGTAAGCGGATTAACATTTACCCTATGTTGGGCTGAAAACAATAGTTTTTTTGTTGGTGATAAGTTTCCCTTTTTATTTAAAGGTATAATATTTCATTTAAATATATTTTTAAAATTTTATTTTTCGCCTTACCATTTACACTTGACAGCCGTCAATATTTTCCACACATTTTTTCAATTAGGGCGCACTAAATATGCGTACACTCTGCATTCACATGTTCAATTTTGTTTATTTGAGTGATATTGAAAAATCGCGTGTGGATGAGCAATGTTTGCGCTGCGGTTTGACTTGCCCGAGTTCAAATTTCCACCAATATCACCGCAGATATATTAAATTCTCTTTGAGCGAGCATCAGTATTCACTGTCTGTGGCTAAAATTGTTGAAGGCGGCAATTAGCTTCGCACTTCATTAATGATGCCGCGTCGGAAGCTTCATTGCCCAACAAAAATACAAAAAAAAATTACGCATTTAAAAAGAAATATGCATATATCAACGGATTTTCTTGTACGTACACAAAGATATCATAGGTGGCTCTCGGAAAAATCAGCAGCAAATTTAATTTCCGTTTCGATGCATCGTGAAAACCAAAAATGCTCAAAATTCGTATCAATCAAAGCATTTTTTCGTCGCTTGACTGATTTCAATCGCTTCTTCTGACCGCCCTATAAATATTTTATTTTGTTTATTTTTATTTGACTATCACATGCTATTCATCGATCGAGAGGCTGATTTCTTTTTTACGTACATGTTTTTGGCAGACAAATCTTTTCTAAATTGATTTTAGTGAAATAATAATATTTCATAAGTAGACATTGATTTTCATCTGATCTTAATTAAAAGCGATTTTTCGTCAATTCTTAGCGGATTTTCTTCTGCCCGATGCCAAACAAATTAGTTCAACCTTAAAGATCTAATTGGACACTGACGAAAGAGATGAGTACCAAAATTGATGGGCAGAATTAGGCGGCCAGAAGACCCCATAGAGTTAAACACATCTAGTGTGCCTTGAGGGCACCTCCATACGATATTCACAGACAGTCAGGCAGTTCGAATTAATACACATTAAAACATACACGTAGTCAATAAACAAAATGGAATACAGAGTTGAGTTGTTAAAAGAACCAATAGCGGATCGCAAGGTGGAGCATAGATCAGAGAGCAAAACAGAGCGAAAAGTGGAAACTGAGGAGCCCCATCTAACGCAACATCTTAAGAAGCACTACGAGACGGAGGTGGAAGTTTTGGGGCTCCTTGTAGACCTGGAACACCGATACCTTCAGTTCTACGATCTCTATCAGTGTGAAATCCTGTCCCAAAAGACACTTATCGAACGGATATGGCTACTAACCCAACGCTATCTGATTCTGATCAGTTCGGAGCAGAGCTGCCGATATCCCGAGGTGTATACCTTGTCGACCGAAGAGGCGATTGTAAATGAGTACGAGGAGAAATTGGAAGTAGTGCGGGCCTCCAAGTGAGTTACATAGGCTATCTTGGGTCCAAAATTATTATAATCAATTTAAAAAATGTTTGCAACATAAATAATACTAAAAATTAGGTGCATAAATATCTAGCTAATACAGTTTATTATGTTTATATTTCCGTAGCAACACCATGAAGAACTCCCTGATGGAAATAAGTCAGCACTGCAAGAAGTTCTATGCCGCCTACGAACGACTGGACAAGACCCAGGAAACCCCGATGATCATGGGCGACAGCCATCACAGGAGCATCAAGTACCACAAAATGGTGGCCGTCGATATCTTTAACTATCTGTACGCAGTGGTTCTGAAACTAAAGTGCTTCATGCATCAGCTGGACCCCGTAAATCTGGAGAGTGTCGAAGACTATCGCGACTTGCTCCAAAACGAATCCATGATGGAAGAATTCGACGAGTACCTCAAGGAGAACTTCGTCTACTGCAAGTGCCTGCAACCCACTCAAACTTGCCCGATCCTGAAGCTAAAGTGTTCCCACCAAAACCTAGTAAATTTGAAGTATGTCAGTCGTATCTAGTCAAGACACAATAAATGGAAGCCCTCTAATATAAAATACGATTTCTTATATTCCATTTATTTATTGGTTTGCAATGGCTGCCTTATACAATTAATCAATATTAATGAATGTCCCATTGACATTTGTGGCGCCTATACCCAATAAACAGAAGCCCTAAAATGTGTCATTATTCCCTGTAGCTGACCTCTGTGCCCTAAACATTTAGCTTATAACAGGACAACAAGTCGGGATCAGCACTAGGGTGCAGCTCCTCCAAATGGCGCTCGAATTCCTCCAGATTAAAGTTGTTTATCTTGCAGTATGGGCAGCGAATGAGCATCGGGTACTTTCCGGCTCCCAACTCCTCTTGGGTGTAGAAAAGAGCCAGGCTCGCCGGCGTGAGGATGCAGTGCATCGCGTGGTCGAACTTGTGGTCTTTGGTGGTCACATCGAGAGCGTAGCACCCGTTGCACAGGTTGAACTCCTCCAAGCAGGAGAGGCAATGGAACAGGCGACCCGGAAAATTCTGGCGCAGGCAGCCGCTGCAAGTAATGCCCATGTGGCGGTGGGATTCGTCCCTACGAGGGAACTAATTAGACAGGATGGGATTGGGACTTCCGATGGGGTAAACTTACTTATCGTTCTGCATCTCTTATGATTTACTTAAAAAGGTTAAGTAGTTGCAAATTTCACGCTGAATTTATAGCTTACTTAACTCAAAGTCAACCGAGTGCAAATCGTAAAAGATGTTGGAGTAAAGGGGATATTAGAAGTTTTTTCCTGACAAGGTACGTCTTTCCCAAAGGAGTTAAGAACTGATTGTCATTGTGAGACCTTAACAACGGTATTTCAATGAACTATTGATGAAAATATTTTCTAATAGGGTTGCTGCCATGTAACATCGCTAAACATCGATATTTTCTATCCTAAGTTATTTCTTAAAACAATGCTGTTAAATACCTGTTCAGGTTATAAAACTTGTATTTAAGGTAAAAGTTCTGCCTATATGTAACCGTTTATCTATTAATACGTTTATATGTACGACCAGATTTCCTTTTTGTTATATAATACCAAAAATAACGGAAACACTGATGGAAAGTTAGCTCGTGTAGATAGCCTTTATCGATAGCAATTAATCGAAATACAACCTTATTAAGAATAATCCAGAAGAACTAAGAAACCGAAAACAAACTTAAAACAATCTGAAATTGAAAAAGCGAGAGGGCTAAGAGACTTGGTGACCTTTGTTCAATCGTTACACTTCTGTTGCATTACCAAGAAGACTCAGGGTCATAACTGTTATCTATGGTTTTATTCACCCCTGAACTTTTAGCAGCGCCAGCGAGAAAAGTTCTTGGAGGACATTTCATCGCCGAGCAGAGCGTCACATCATGAGCATCTGAAGCGTGTTTAATGCGATTCGCTCAGGCACAAGTCACATTCACATCCCGAGGATGAAGATGGCATTCAAAAAGGCAAGTCCTGGCCGCAGGTGGCACTTGTGTATGCAACTGTCGTGGTCGTGTGGGGCTCATCACAATGAACCCATTGAGGCAGAAGTGCCCCGACTTTGGCCCCACCGAGATGGCAATCAGGGGGCATTTGTGGGCGCACCAGAAAGGACACAGGATTGTGGATTGTGGATTGCCGGACCCAAGGATACTGCTCTGAAGCCGAAGCCACCTGGCTAATGACCGGCTGCAACACCCACATAAAAACGTACTATGATGAGCGGAGAAAATCAGAATCTCGTGCGTCATTCGATTATGAGTTTAGGGTCTATCCCCAGCCGCCTAATTTATTTTATACATTTTGGATAAACAAAATTCATGGAATTTTCGCGCTCAGGCCGGGCAGCCCATGTTTATGATAATGACGTTGTTGTCATTTGTCGCTTGGTGTTCTTTTCCTTTCTTTATATTTCTTTTTGGCCTGGTGTTGAAAGCAGGTTTAAGTGGTATACCCATGTGGGTTGATTGCTCTCTTCGGTCTATGTTTCTCGATTTATTTTTAGCCAGGATAATTGAAAAGCAAGCGACACAGAAAACCAGCAGGACGAAAATGGAAATGAGTGGGGCGTTGGCAAGGGGACTGACTCCCACATCCTATTTGATTGAAAAGAATCTCGTCGGTGTTGTGTGAGCTCTGTGAAAAGGATTATTTACATAAATATAGGGTTGGGTCACAGCTGAGCTCATGTTGAGTTGGCCTGGGCAAACAAAGGATAATCGGATTGAATGACGGCAATCAACGAGCAAAATTGTGCAACTGTTTGATATCCACTGGCAATTACAGCACTCAGATGAGGAACTGCACCAAGGAATACTTCGGGGAAAAGTTATAGCTAGGAATAGAATTAATTAGGGAAGGAAAGGTATGGGGGCCAGTATTGTACATAAAACCATTAAGAGAAACATTTTTAACAACGTTTTCGCTGTCGTCGAATGTGAATTGTATTGATTAAAATCGAAAAAATGCTTAGAATGATATTAAATAATTTATTTTCTAAATTTGCCTCATTTCAGAACTAAACTGAATAAAACAAAGAAGTTTTGGTGCAGTCTACGGAAGGTATACTAGGTAATACATATAATTCATATAATTTACCAGAATTCTTACAACATACTATTAAAATGGTCTTGGTTTCAAAAAATTAAACAATTTTTGTTTCTCAGATCGCATTTATACTTTTTATAGCATATGTACTTAAAAGGATTCTTGACTACATTCATCTATATTACATTTTTTTCTTGTTTGGCTACCGTTGAAGTACCTTTTTTTACGATACTTTGAAAACTAGAACAACAAGTTTTCATTAGTTTAACTTTTTATAATATTTACATTTACTTTGTAAACCATAAATGTATGATAAAAAAAATTAAAGTTCTAGTTTTAATGACTCTTCACAAAAGGTGAAATTTAAACCATTTAAAAAATCGCCAGATATTAGTTAACCCCTTAACTCAGAACAAAGAAAAACTAGTTAAACATTATGTTTTTAATTTAAAAGCAATAATGCTGAGACCTAAAACAAATTTTACTCACCGATAGTGCCCATTTTTGGCAATTTGTTTTCCTTGATCAGTAATCCAAAATACGATTCGTAATCCTTTTTTGAACTTTAAAAATGTCGGTATCGAATACCGTTGTCCACCGATTTTAGAGCGTGTCTTCGAGGCCAAACTAAACGTCAAAAAAGCTGCGATCACACTTGGAAAGTCACATTGCAAATAGCAAAATTCGGTGATAATTGACTAGTTTTTGGTAAACAATATATTTTCCGTTTTTTTTTTGTTTCGCAATTTCCAGCGTAAGGTGGAAATTTCAAGGTTGCTTCACGATTTGAAATAAGTTGGCAGAACAAGATGAATGGGATGTTTTAGTTGACTTGTTTGCTTGCCTATATTTTCTTTATTTTTCGCGAACGGATACTAAGTAGCGGGCAGTATAGTCGCAAAGAATAATGGCAACAATAAAAATACACAAAACACAAGCAGCGAAAGACGCGAAAAAATTGAACGCAGAGACCACGGCACTTTCACGTCCACACGTCAGGAGTTTTCCGTTATGAATGATTTCCCATTTCCCAGACGGTTCGGTTTTTATATTTGCATGGACAACCGAAGGCGTTCGTCGGCAACTTTAGCTTTTAAGCTCTTAAAAGAGCACTGATAAAAATGTTTTATACTTTGTATACAGACATTACGCTCGTTCAAGTTGAGTGCAAATTATATTCAAGATTATATTCTCAGATAAAATAACAAAGTATTATAAGTTAAAAAAAAGTAACCTAAATTTATTAAATTAATATTCTTAAATTTAAAATTATTCATTTCTTCGAATAAAAAGTCTCTCAATTATTTTAAGAAATGTCTCTTCAGCTTTCATATAATTCTCTTTGACTCTTTACCTCCATTTTCCATGTTGGAGAAAAGCTTCTTTCGACAGGGAAAAGCTTTCATCTTTGTTGTAGTAGTAGTTTTCATGCGGGGGCCTTCATTGAATGATTTTGCCTTGAGTTCAACGCATCCTGGCGAAAGTTCTTTCACATTTACCAGGACCGGATTTGTCCTCCCAAAGTTCTAAAATTAATTTTGTACACCACATTTCTTCTTTCTCCAGAGATTGCTTAAGTTTTATCGAATGGAGTTATGAAAAAATTGAACATAAGTTATGTGACTTTAAAAAAACGTCAAATAATATTTTAAATAACTAAGTTAAGCTTAGTGAATATAATGGCAGTCTAAATTACCATCCTATTTTAATTTGGACAGATTGGCTTCGTGGTCAGGGAACATCAACTAGACGTTTTTAATGCTGTCACCCACAGAAAATAATTTTTCTCGAAATGTTTTAATAACGCCAATCTAAATATTGTTCAGTTCAGGTGATCCTTGTCTTGATATTAAGCACTGAATAAATTTAAAATTATAATATGTAGGGTTTTATGTTAAGATCTTATAACCCAGTATATTATATTACGTATTTGATAAACGGTGATCTAAATATTGTATTAAAATTGTATGTATATTTTTCTTATGAAATGTATGAATTATTTAATTTTCCTAAATTAAATTGTTTTGATCCAGTATTTAATATTACCGAAACTTTCAAACCAGGGTGTATAGAATAATAGTAATATATTCAAAATAATTTTAAATCCAATTTTAAATGTTCTCCACTCATATGTCAGAGCCCTAAAGCCACGAGAATATAACTGCCAGCTCAAGCGTATCACTTTCGTCTTGTCAAACTCCCTGACCCAAATCTAGTGGAATTCTTAACCAGTTCCGCCTCTAAAGTAAATAAACTTAATCTGGCGCATTACCTCAAATTACCAGGCCTTAAGCCCATTCCGGAATATCACCCCGCCCCGCCCCGACCGAAATTAATTACCGTTCCAGTTGCAAGAACAACTGTCTTCGAAAGTGAGCCAGCCACGAGAGTCTGAATACCAGGCAATTTTTTAATGCAATGCAAATAAAGTAGGCAAAGGAGAGGCGGTCTCTTAACTTTGTCGGCACGCAAGGACACCGGAGTTGGATTCCGGCTCCTGTCGAAGGTGTTGCCGTGTGCTGGTCGTCCCACTGACAACAACTTAGTTGCAACTCCGGCAGAAACCCGTGCAAAAACCGCTACGAATCAAGTTTTGCGGCTGGATTGTCCTTGAACCAGATACCTCCCACAAGGAACCGAGGAGCAGGAGGAGCACATGGCACTGACGTAAGGCCCCCGTGTAACCCCAGCGTAACCCAATAATCGCTCAGTCCCCGCTCTGATTGTGGTGGCAGTTAACTTGATTATTTTACAAATAATTGAAAAGTTTCCCTTTTCCTCGCCAATGCGAAAATTGCACAAATTGCGCAGACAAGACCATCGTGGCAAGCAGCAGTACATCCATCAAGCAGTCCAAACCACCTCCTCAGTCGACTTTTCCGGTCCCTGGTTCCACTGGTTCCCTACCCCTGACGTAGGCAACGCTTTTCCCAGTGACGACAACGCCGGCGATGACACCAACACCAAACAACAGCGATGACGACGACACCCACCGCTCCGTGGAACCGGAGAAAACAAACAGGTATCGTGCAAGAACATCATTCACATGACGAGGATTATTCGGTGCCGAGGAGCATATGTTTCTTTTAGGGTCTTGAAACGAGGGAAAGCACTAGGAGGGGTCGCACTTTATGGCCATATTATTGGATATGATAAATACTTTCAAATTATGAGCTTATTTTTTAAAGCATGCAATGAACGGTTGAAAGATTTTGTGTTTTTTATCACTAACTTACTACTTACTAAAATGTATAATGTATTATTCAAATCGCTGGTCCTCTCCGATCTTTTACTTTAAAAACTCTTAATTTATTCAATTAATTATCATTGATAAGTTTTCAATCCTTCAAGGAAACACTACATTCCAAATACATAGTTTTGAAGGTCATTTTTATGTCACCTTACATCGCCAGGTAACCGTCACAAATATTTATACCAATTCGACCTAACCCAACGTGAAAAGTGCAAAAACTATGCTCCCAAACTAAAACACGCATACAGCTAATACGAAGGCTTCTATCATGTCTGTTCTGATTTTCACATTCAATGGAATTTATTGAGAGTGTTTTGCTAAACAAATAGAGTTGGCTAAAACTTCTCTATAACAAAAAAGAGTCGTATATAAACAACTATTTTTATTTTAATTTAGGAACTTGCATTTTTAAAGAACTAAAACTATAAAAGATATTGAAAACCTTCGAAATACTATGATGAAAGTACCAAAACGTATCAATTTGTAAAATTTCAGATGAATCCTCAAAAATGTATTAAACTTTATTTGGTGTTACATAAGACGATTCCATATAGGAAGCCGGAAACATGACTTCGAGTATCTCAGCGAGTGTGGAAGCCCGACCAAAGGCAAGGGCTAGGCCCAGGAAGCAACCAAGTTGAGCATGTACCTATTAATAGAGTCGTTGCCGAAGTGAACTTGTGAACTTGTTTCTGGCTCAATGGTTGCCAGGGAGCTCCGCAAATTAACAACCCACTCATCCAGTGGCCCAGTCCGAGTGCCAAGTGCTGAAATTCAGTCGGCTGGCGAGGCTTCCGCCATGCAGACGCGTCCGAGCAGTGAACCGCATCGCAGCAGGGATCAGGTGAGGGAAGGGGATCGGGATGCGCCCCAGAAATGCGCCAGTGCCACGTCGGCCAAGAAGCCAGTCACCCCGCCGTCCGCCCCACCGCCCACGCCGTCCAGCAGGGTGGTGGCTCCCTTGACGGTGCCTGTGATCCAGCTCACACCCGCCCAGAGTGATAGTCCGGCGAAGGTGGGACTGCCAGCTACTCTAAAGGACTCCTCAACCTCCTCCATTACCCTTTCGGACAACAGCAACAAGGAGAATCAGCCAGCGAAGGCCCCACCACCAACCAGGATTTCCTGCCCCCTGGGCGCACCCACCAACTACGTGGCCAGACGCACCTGGATCACCACCGAGCGGATGAACGAGCTGCGGCGAAAGGCCCAGGAGGCGGCCAAGCAGAACAAAATCTTCACCATTCGCGGCTGCTTCAACTCGGTGAGGAACGCCCTGCTGACGAGGGGCTGGGTGGAGAAGCTGGATGTGCACCGGAAGGTGATGCCCGCGGGACAGATGACCTACGAGGACCTAACCCAGCGGCTGCCCAAAAGGAAGGCGGGCGAGACAAGGCGGCAATATGTCCTGAAATGCGAAAGGAACATCATGTCCCGGTTCCTGGAGCACATGCCCGTCGACTTTCTGTGGACGAACCGCAAGGAGAAGTGCGACTACATCGACCAGGCCAAGAATCCCGGCATGACCATCAATAAGTTCCACCGGGCGCCGTTTACCTCCAAAGAAGGCCTCTGCAGCCAGCTGCGCGACTTCCACTGGTTCTTCGAGGAGGGCACCGCAGAGATGTACTTCCCCAGGTGCTACAACGTCTGGAGTCCCGAGGAACTGGGCGAGTTCATCGAGAACTTTAAGCTCACCGCCTGCGTGGCCTTCCTGCGGGCCATGCTCTGCAGGTACCACAAGCAGGGCTCGGATGCGGTTTTCTCATGCAGCGGCAAGATACCCTACTCCTCGATAGACTTCGCCTACAAGCGTCTGGTGGAGTTCCTCGACAGCTGCCAACACAACGACATTGACTTCGAAGATCCGCCCAAGATATGGGAGCACGACTGGGACGCCTTTCTGTTCCAACACCAGCAGCTGGTCAACGAGGACGCACGCATCCAGCACGATGGTGGCCAACGGCTGGATCCCATGGTCAAGAGCTGCCTATCGCTGGTGGACAAAATGAAGATTCACTGGCCGCAGTACAGCCTGGATGGATATCAGAATCTGTGGATCGTCAAGCCAGCCAACAAGTGCCGGGGCAGGGGCATCATTCTCATGGACAATCTCAAGAAAATCCTGGGCGTGGTTAACCCTTCGATTGCCTCCAAGAGCCGCTATGTGGTTCAAAAGTACATAGGTGAGTATACCAACCCATTAGGATTGCCAGAAAATTTCAAGTTTCCAAGGAAAAATAGGTTTTTATATATTCAATACCAGTTTCTACCTTTGTAGGTCGGTAGTAAAAAAGATTCCCCTATATATAATTTAGTTATATAAAGATAACTTTAAGTGTTAAAATATGAGCTATTATATGAGTAGAGCGCTAGCAAATAAGGATTACGGCTCGTCTAGATTCCAACGTTTGTTTCTTTAGATTTAAAGACAACTTTCATAAACTTAATGGTATAGACTTTTTTTCCGAGGAAAGGAGACGGTTCTAAAAACTAAATTAATAACTTGTTAAATGAAATACAAATATTTGATATTCAACTTTCAGTTTAATAAAAGTACTAGTTCTATTCTTTTAAAAAATATGAATGGAAAATAAATTGATTTCACATACTAAGACAAAACCCAATCCTGATTTTTTAAAGATATACCTAATTTCAGAAATAAACATTTCTGGCGCAAAGCTTTGTCTTTAACTGGATACCAAATTTGCACTTACCAATCGATACCGACTAAAGCATCTTAAGTGCAGACCTAAAACATTTCAAGTCCTGCTGGCAAACGATATAAACAAACACACGGGAACTAGGTCGGAAATCAGGACGGTGCCAAAGTTGTTGTTCGAGCTGCTGTTTTTGTTCTGTGCTCTACGTAGGCCCCATTTTCGAGGAGCTCGAAACGTCAGTTGTGGTGCCCACACGCACGCCCATGGGTTCCTACATTTAAAAGTCTTTGGCTCCAAAGCCTACATAAATGCATAAATATTTGGCCTAAAAACGCAATCATTGCTCTTGCCGCCGTTGTCGTTGTCGTGCTCGTTTGCTGGCAGCAATCATAATTTGCTTTACGACTTCTGTCTGCCTCGTGAACTGCAACAGGTTTGCCGGATAACATTGATTTTTAATCCAAACGGAAAAGGCTTTTATTTGGTCAGAATAAAGTTTGTCAATAAGGAAAGGGAATTGCCAGGATTTGCATGTAAGGAAAGTGGAATTCCTTATACTGTCATCATTGAAAGAAAGAATCTTTTCTTTCCTTGAATTGTTGTATCGGGAATTTATATTTTTAATTCAGGTAACATTATTAGGCGTTCTGTATAGCCAAATGAATATTTTTATATTCCGAAAAAAAATTCATATAAAAAATTGTCATATAAATCACCCATTCCCACTCTAATCTTAAAAAGGAAATCGAAAATTTTCTTGAAATTACATTTAAAAATGCTATGAATGTATAACTCTGGCGATAAAAAATACATTTTACTTACATTCATAAGGAAAATAAATTTGCGAAAGGTGACTAGAACTAAGATTTCGTTTTCAGGATATAATAAAAAAAACACAATTTTGTAACTTCAAAGAATTTAAGGTTTTTATTACATATTAAGTACTAACAATTTTTAATTACTTCCTTTGAACCTGCAGAACGCCCTTTGATCCTGTTCCAAACCAAATTCGATATTCGTCAGTGGTTTCTCATAACCAATACCCAGGTGAGTCAAGTCTCAACAGCTTCTAACCCAGCGAACACAAATCTTTTTAACACAATCCATAGCCTTTAGTGGTGTGGTTCTACCGGGAGAGCTACCTACGATTCAGCTCGCAGGAGTATAGTCTGAGTAACCACCACGAATCGGTGCACTTGACCAACTACGCGATCCAAAAGAAGTATACGAACGGGAAGCGGGACAAGCGACTGCCGAGCGAGAACATGTGGGATTGCTACTCCTTCCAGGCGTATTTGCGGCAAATCGGAAAGTACAACATGTGGCTGGAGCGGATATTCCCCGGAATGCGCAAGGCCATCGTGGGCTGCATGCTGGCGTCCCAGGAGAACATGGATCGGCGGCCCAACACCTTTGAGCTCTTCGGTGCCGACTTCATGATCTGCGAGAACTTCTATCCCTGGCTGATCGAGATCAACTCCAGTCCGGATCTAGGAGCCACAACTAGCGTGACTGCGCGAATGTGTCCACAGTGCTTGGAGGATGTTGTTAAGGGTGAGTCCATGTCCACGGGAAATCGGAGAAAGCAAGACAATCAAAAGATAATCAAAATACAATAGATAGAATATAATATCTTACATATCTATGTTAGGACGCTAGAATTATTAGAAGACTATCCCTTTTAATCATTTATTAATTATTTTATATTTTATAATAAATATTCCGATCCTTTGCAGTTGTTATTGATCGTCGCACGGATCCCAAGGCGGATATGGGTAACTTTGAACTGGCCTACCGCCAGGTGGTGCCGCCCACGCCCGCCTACATGGGCCTCAACCTGTTCGTCAAGGGCAAGCAGGTGCTGCAAAAGGTGAACCACAGCGGTGGTCATGGTCACTACTACTACCAGCAGCAGCGAAAAGAGCGCTCGCTGGCCACCAGTAGCGTTTACCGCCAGCGGTCGGCCGTCATCCATCCGGCCACGACTATTTCGCGGATCCACCGAGCCATGCCCACCTTCAATGCCACCGAGTACATGGAGAAATACATGGTGGAGCCGCTGAGCAGCAGTCGCAGCAGCCTGTGCAGCCAGCAGCCACAGAAGTCGCCTTCGATGGCTCCTGCTCTCACGGCCCCGCCGTCGGGATCACCGAGTCCCTATATCCTCAAGCAGGCGAGTCGCTCCATCACCCAGCTCCTAAGTGCCTCCCACAAGCGCAATACGGCGGGATCCCTTCCGGGTGAACCGATCCCGAGCACCGCCCTGCCACCGAAACGACAGCGAAGCTGTGGACCCCGACTGAGTTCCACAAATCCCGTGGAGAGTTCGGAGAAAAAGTTCAAGATTCTTATCAAAAACTATTCGGCCGCCGGAAATGAATCGCTGCAGGATACGCGACCGGAAGCGGCTACCGCGTCCACGGCCCCGGTGTTAAGCGAGCGGAAATGGCGCAGTTTGCGCAACATTGCGGCCACAACAGGCGGCTCCTCCAACTCCGCATCCCGCTCCAAAGGAGCACCTTTGGTGGCTCCCAGTCTGCCCACACGTCGCTTCAGTCGCACCAAATCCGAGATCGATAGCATGCACGCCATTGGCCGAACCTTTGGCCGGAAGTCGAATGGGCCCAGGCTTCCCATAAGTATATCCGTGCAGGCCCTGCATCGAGGAGAGCCCATCGTGGCGGCTCTGAAGCAGGCCACCAGCGAGCTGCAGCTCTCCCAGACTCAGATAATGAGTCCTCGGACCGCGCTGGCCAACAAGCTCAACAGCTCCACGCTGACCGTTCCCACGCCAGCACTTCCGGTGGGCTAAGACATCCAACACTGCCTCGGTGGGTCAATAAAATTCAATCAGACAAGTAACTGCCTAGGATATGTATGCCTCATCTAGGCAATCCAATAAATAAATACCTATTACCTGACCTAGGAACAGATTTTCATTTACCCTGTGAATAAGCCGTATGTATTTAGAAAAGCGAACTTAAAAGCGTTATTATGTCATTGAAAAGAAAATATTAATCTTCATAAAAAATAGGTGTTTATTCCATTTTAAATTTAAATAAAGAATTTAAAAATTATTTAAGAAAGCTGCAATTTAAAAATATTAAAAATACCAATTATTTTTAAAGTCGTTTTTATGGAAAACGATCTTAAATAATCTTAGCTCTTTAAAACGATATATATCTATAATTGTTTTACATTTTAAAGACGAGTTTATTGGAAAAATCGTTATATAAACTTGCGGATGTTATTGTATTCTGTTCTAGTAAATGTGTTAGCTATTGAATAAACTCAAATAGATTTGGGATTGATGATACTGTGTGTAAATGTTATCAATTTCCACTACCGGTTGGGATATTGTTCGGGACCATTGCCGCATGGAGGGAGCACATACAAGATTCTGAAATGTTTATATCTTCAGTAACCAATTGATTATATTATCTTGACTTACTTTTCATATTTTCAGGCAGAGTTTTAAGGATCAGTCTGTTCTTAAGAATGCGAAGGTCGTTTCAATGTATTTTCCGTACAATGTTGTGAAGAACTTACCTTTTGTTTTATTTGTATTTCCTTACACATATGTACTACTAAAACTTTCTGTAAATTCTGTAGCTTCACTTTGGGGCGGTATATTGGAGGGCCAGGTTCTCACGAGTTGTCGGATTCAGAATGACCTTGGGATCCAAGTTCTGCGATGATGGCTGAACCGAAGATGTGCTTGAACTTCCAACTGAGGCAGCCATTTTCTATAAAGATTATATATACTTTTATAAAACAAGTCATGGATTGGAGATAGGATATAATAGTATGGAATTAAAAGGTAATTTAAAAATCTTATATTTTAAAGTGATGATTTTTAAAGAATCTTCTATATGGATACATTTTACTCTCTCTTATTATAAAAGGTTTAAAAATATATTTTTTAAGCTTTGTTCTAGCAAAATTTTTCAAATTGTCCCTTACTTTCTTTTTTGAGATCTTCACAGTGGCAGCCTTAACATTTTTAGCTTGAGCTTCCTTGACCTTTTCCACCTTTCTGCTGGTAGTCTTCACGTTGTTCAGAATCTTGCGCAGGAGCCGCGTCCTGGGGCTGTTTCGCATCCTGGGCATGTTCTCGAAAAGGGTCATCTGCTTGCCATTTAGTTCCAATGGCTTGCCATCGGCTCCCTTGTTAATGCTGTAGTTAACCTCGAAGGCCAGCTCGAAGAGTCCAGTGGCGGCGGTGGGGTTCTTCGGCAGATCCACCACCACTCGGATGCAGTCCTTGAGGACCATCGGACAGATCCTGGCCGTGATCTCGGTGGATGGCGAGAGATCCGGCGTCGAGTTGATCTCGATCAGTATGGGGTTGTAGTGCTCGTCGAGCATAAAATCACAGCCGTACAGCTCGAAGGCGTTCTGCAACAGTTCCGTCTCATCCAGACTGGCCATCACCACGGCCACCAGGTTCTGCTTGAATCCGTTGTAGGTCTTCGACCACGTCCCATCAGGAGCGCCCATTTGGCGCAGATAGCTCTTGAACTGGTCCAGCGACCACATGTTGTTCTTGGGCAGCCGCGAGTCCCGGTTGGTCTTGTTCTTGTACCGCTTCTGCACCGAGTTGTTGGTCAGATGGATGGACTCGCGCAGGTCGTCCATGGTGAACTCCTGCGAGCTGAAGCGCAGGTAGCAGTCCCGGTACGTCCAGATGCTCACCTTGGTGTCCGTGATGCTCAGCAGCATGTACTGCCGGATGTCGAACTTGGTGCGGTAGACCAGCAAGGGCCGCTCTGTAGAAAGAGGCATACGTTTGGGGAGGTAATACTTTTCAGATCTCTAAATTGTTTATTAAGACACACATGATGTTTTTAAAAAACAACATCTTTAGAAATCTCTAAAAATGTACTGTGTTAAAAAAACGTATTTTCACAAAAGTATTAAGGTAAAGTATTATTAAACAAGGAAGAACGCTATAGTCGAGTACCTCGACTATCAGATACCCGTTACTCAGCTAAATGGAGATATTCAAGCAGCAAAGCGAGATTAAAGAGCGCCACCTACCGGCGGTATACAGATTTAAGCGTTATGGGCGTTAGAGTGGGTGTGGCAAATTTTTTTTTGGATCAATCGATAGGTATTGACGAGACCAATACATTTCAGTTAAAATTTTTTATCTAGCATGAAAATTGTGGGCGTCACAGGTTTTCGCGGTTTGTGGGCGTAAAAGTGGGCGTGGCAAACTTTTTTTTGGGTCAATCGATAGGTATTGATAAGAACAATACATTTCAGTTAAAATTTTTATTCTAGCATTAAAGATGTAGGAGCCACAGTTTTGGGCGGTTTGTGGGCGCTAGAGTGGGCGTGGCACTGTACTGAAACAAACTTGCGCTGCGTAAGAAGCTCAGGAATCTGCTCGCCAAATTTCAATAGCCTAGCTCTCATAGTTTCCGAGATCTCAGCGTTCATCCGGACAGACAGACGGACAGACGGACATGGCTAGATCGACTCGGCTAGTGATCCTGATCAAGAATATATATACTTTGTGGGGTCGGAAAAGCTTCCTTCTGCCTGTTACATACTTTCCGACGAATCTAGTATACCCTTTTACTCTACGAGTAACGGGTATAAAAATCGATATAGAATATCTGAACGATTATATATATCTAATATGTAAATATTCATATTGCTTTCAGCTTCTATTTAGATTCTAATGTCTAATTGTTCAATTATAAAGTCCTAGAAAAACTATACGTTTTATTATTCGATTTGAATAACTATATCCGGGGTGGTATAGAAATCTCTTAACCAACCCACGAAATTGGTTGAATTTTTAGAACATGAAATAACCGTATTACTTTGATATGTCGAATCGAAAAACGCAATTTTCAATATCTATTTTACGTTACGATAAGATGATACTAGAAAACTTACCTGTGAATATATATTTCTGTGAACTCACCTATGTACTTCTGGACAATGTACTTCTTATTCTGGTTATTTGATGTCCACTGCAGGATTTCGTCGAGGGAACTGCGGATAACGATGCCGATGCCGCGCGACTGGTATCCGGGCTTGAGGATCCACAGATTGCGGCTGCCGTCCCACCGATAGTCTGGCCGGAGGGACTCGATCTGGTCCAGGTACAGCCCTGCTAGACGGGCGTACTCCGTCATCACCTTCTCGCTGACCTTGAACTTGGCGTTGGACTTCAGCACATCGGCGGATTGAACCATGAAGGTCTGGTTCTCAACGATCTCAGCGGGCGTCGGCGGCTTGATCCTGGCATCATCCAAGGAGTAGTGCTCCGCATGGCGGACCATCTTCTTCACCTTCCCGAGGGCGAAGTCCAGGGTGGTGCTGGATATGGTTCCATTCTCGCTGATCAGTTCAACCGGTTGGTGCTCCCGCACGTAGAGCAGCAGGGATCGGGCCTGCGTCTGCTGATAGTCCTCGATGAAGGCCATGCGCTCCTCGAGATTGTTACCGCCCAGGCGATAGAAGCGCGGGTAGCTCATCCCGCAAACGCCGTCCTCGCGATACCAGCGCTCCTGCTCGGCGCAGCCCACCAGACCCACCTTGGTGGAGAAGTCCAGGAACTGGCTGCGACGCACCCGGTTCCGAAAGGGCCTCACCTCGGCGCACAGGTCGCGCTGGCCCTTGCCCTGCCAGATGAAGAAGGCTGGGAAGTGGTTGATCATCTTGGAGATGACCACCGCCTCGTAGTCGTTGCCACGGCGGGCGTGCTCCAGCAGGGCGTCCTCGGACATGCTCTGCAGCTTGGCGTGCCGCGAGGCAGGCAGCTTCTCCAGCCAGCCCCTTCGCATTAGAGCCCGTCGCACCGTGTGGTAGTTTCCGTATACGGTAAAGATCCGTCGGTTGCGGTAGGCGTCGATCACACGGGTTCGGTAGACATTGCGCATCTGACGCTTTTGGGCATCCGGCGCCAAGGGAGAAGTGGTCATCGTGCTCCTGGTAGTCGGATTAGCGACACGGGCGCGGGCCAGCAGGCTGCCAATGCTCTCGGGACGGTAGTGATTGCTGCTGCCGCCTCCCAGGGAGCTGGAGCCACCACCCAGCGCTCCGAAGGTCGAGGCAAAGTGGCTTCCGAGCGCAGTGTTGGTATTGTGGCTGGCGAGTGGCTTCTGCACGGAGCACTGCTTGCACAACTGGACCAGCTCCGCGTCCAGGTTGTGGATAAGCGACTGGATCTTCGAGACGGGATTGTAGTAGCGGTTGCGGTTCCCAGTGAATCCCGCCGGCGTGGTGCTCTGTGTCGTCATACTGCTAACTGCTGCTCCTGTTCTCCTCCCTCAACTCCGTCGATAAATCCCAGTCCCTGTCCCTTCTTTCAGTGTCCGTCTCCTGGGGATGTCCTTGTGCCGGCGAGCTGACCCCTTCTCCCGAAAAGGGGTAGTGGATTGGTGAGTGAGTGGGCTAGTTGCCAAAGCAGCCGATTGCTCCGTGCAATTAACGTGGAATTTTGAAGCAGGAGCCAAACAGTTTCTAACAGTATCGCATGTACTAACGAAATGTCCTGATTGACTTAAAAAACATTTCTTCGCATAGACAATAAAATTTGAGACCAAAAAAGGGAGAAAACCTTTGACGAAACGAGTGTGAAGTTGAAATAAATGCATTGAAATCAAAGCATGCTAGTTTCATAGCTCCCTAAAGAAAGTAATAGAAATTCAAATAGAAATCGGATCAAGCTGTATCATTAAAAAATTCTAGAGGTATGTAAAGGGTGCCAACGTTCTCGAGTTTGATAAAATCTTTTCAAATCTGTAAAATATGTAGTATTGAAAAGAAATGATAAATTGTAATACCTGGTCCCTATCCAAGTGTTTTTCTCCAGCTCTTCAAATTTCTGAGATCTTAGGTAAGTTTTAATCAATGAAAACCAACATGCATAAAAAACACTATCGTTTGATTGCTTTTTTTGTAATAAATTTTAATTTGTAGTTATATTTTCTTCATTTGTTTTTGTGGTTTGCTGGTTTCCTTTTTTCAAATATATATGGTACATATAAAAAACTCCTAACCGGAATTTTTGCCTAATTTGCTTGTATTGCATTCAATTTTCATGTTCACAATATTGTATAAATATATTTACATATGTTTGTATGGTAATCAATTTTATATTTAGGTTATGCATTTAGTTTAGTTACGCTCATTTTTAAACTTCCTCTTGTGGAATTTTCAACAAAAGTCAACAATTAAACCAATCCTTGTTCAAATCAACTTAATATTTGGGATTAGTAGTTATTCAATTAAGGTTACACATCATATTTGCTTTACTTAGATAATGCTACAGTTACATAAATAAGTTTTCAGTTTTTAGAGCTTTTATAATTTTTTTTACGCAGTGTTATTTCTTTAATTTTGCTAATACAGTTGAAATAATTTCATTAAGTATTTTCTTGTTGTTAGTATTTTTATAATATATATTTTAGTTTTATAAATTAATTTAAGTATATGGTATTCATTTTTACTGATTTTTTATTTTCTTTATTTCAACTTAAACACAAGCGTTACCCTGCAGTTCCAAATTCATCACTGCTCAAAATCACCCATCACTCAACCCTCTCTTTCTCTTTAATAGTAAAGGAAATGAATATGGTGATGAAGTGGGTATCATTGATTATTTGTAGGACAGGCTAATGTTAAAATCAACACAATTTTTCGAACAAAATCACTGATGATTAAGCACTAGTGATCAACTTTTGCGAGATGATTCTCCGCCAAAAAGGCGATGAACGTTACTGCAGGGTAGTTTCAATTTTGGTTTTTCGTACAAATAAGTAAAAACTTAAACTTAATGTACATAAGACCCCAATCCCAACATTTTAGATGGTGTGGATGATTTCTTGTGTACGTCTTGCTATGTGGCAGTTTGTGTGCTTTAACATATAAGGGGACAAGTAAGTACATGCGAAACTTAAATAGAGTGGTTAGTACAAAAGGGGATTGTAACAGAATAGAAAGACTTGTTTCATGATTCAACTGGCCGCGCTTGCAACAAAATTTTTTTGATTTCTGTTTTGAAAAACAATGGATATGCTTTTAGTTTTTGTGAGTAGATCGTTAAAAATATTTAAAGATTTTATTCGCTATTGAAGATCGAATTCCCTCAAGCCAATGAGCAAAGAAATTCGTTTTTAGGGGCTTAAGCAAAGGCTAAGATTTGAGTTTTGTTTTAGGTTTAGTTCGCCTTTAAAGCTTTTTCGATTACTAAATGATCTCGTATATATAAGTATGTAAATAGTTGATTTCAATGGGCGCTTGCGACTTCTACACATTCCTTCCCCTTCATTCACTTCACATTTAATACTTTCTTGTTAGTTACACGTATGCTTCATAATGTTTAATAATTAGATTTATTATAATGTATAAATCGTATATATATGCAGCTGTTACTCTATATATGTATGCCTGATTGTTGTGCATGTTGTTCAGTTTATAAACTCAATTGGAACGCCGTCTCTGCCTTCTACAAAACACCTAAACAGAAACACGATAATGTCATATGTAAAGCGTATGTTAGTTGATTTAATTTAAAAGAAATTAATATTGGATTAAATTAAAAACTGTACAAAATGCCATAAAAATTATATAACAAACAAGTTTGGTTACGAATTTGGTTCGAAGCACGCTGTCATCTCTTTCCACCTCTGCATCATCTAAAACAAAATACTGTTAGTCTATTGCAAGCCCAATTACACTATATATAAAAAAATACAATAATAATTTTACAATCGAAAACTGATTAGCTTCTAAAACTTGTACACGCCTGGCAGCGGCAGCGACTCGGCGCCAATGCAACTACGTATGTCCTATGAAGAGTATGTGCTATGTCTTGTATACATTGTCTTGTTATGGATTATGTGACTATGCGTGTATTTATATATATTAAATATGTGGATTAGACGTGCATCATGCTGGGGAGTCTCTTGCGTTGCGTCTTTCTTGTTAGAGTTTTTGTGGCTTAGTTGCTGCTAGCATTTCTCATTCATCTCTTTTAGTTCTGCTTGTCGTTACTGTTGCGGTTTAGGAAACGTTGCCCATGGTCTTTACGCTCTTATTGTTGTAGGTTGCTTCTGTTGTCTGTCCCGCCCTTCGGCTGGTGCTCACTCATCCACCGAAGACGTGGGCGGACTGTAACTGCATCAGGAAGCGCTGCGCTGCTCGTTCTCTGGCCTGCGATCTGTGGCGATCTGCAGCAGATTGTTGAACTCCGTGTCAAGTATTTGACGAGCCTATTCGAAAAGATTTGAATTATTTATTTGATTCATAAGGTAGTGTTCAACTGAGTGTTAACCTGAGCATTTTGTGTGGGTATTTGGAGGGCCAAACCCATGGCATTGGAATCGAAACCCTCATCCAGGGCCATCAATCCTCCATGCACTCCCGATTCGAGCAAGTTGTTGGCATATTCCTACAAACGAAGAGGTTTAATTTGTGCTGCAGATTCTATCTACATTTTGCGACACTTACCTTCAATCCGATACTGCCCACCCACCGTATGACTCTCTCGTTGCTCCAAACTAGCACATCACACAGACCGTTTTCACTCATTTTGCGCCTGTGCTCCAGCTCCGTGCGATCATAGTTAAGGCGCTTAAGCATCGATATGCCATACTGCAGGCTGGTCCGATGGAAGCTGTCCACCATTTTGAGCTGACCTCGCAAATCCTTCTTGGTGAGGTGGTCCAGCATGCGTGCATCCACCAGACACTCCATGAAGGTTGTGCGATATTGCGGCAGGCCCAGGCCGGGCAACCAGTAGTTGCCGATCCACTCATGGTTCATATCGCCTAAGGAAAAATATGACAAATAGTTAATTAATCGAATTACAAACGGGACTGAACTCATTGGATAAATATAATTAACCACAGATTATAGAAAACAATTTTATAAACATTATCTTACCAAACGCTAAAGTGGTCCGTGAGGTTTGTGGTGCCGAGGGAGAGGTCAGTGAAACCATTTCCTGAATGGCCAGGCGAAGCTTAAGCCTGTGCAGAGGATTGCTGATGCCTGTTGAGGGAAAAGAGTTAGCTAGCGAAAGCAATAAAGACGAGCGGCATCCGTACCGATCTCCCGCTGAATTTCCGTGTCGCTCAACGCACTCATAATGGCCCCGGACTTGACATTGGCCCGACAAGCGGCCACATACCAGGCGGGCATGCCCACCCACAGCTCCAGCCAGGCGACTATGGTGGGGCCGTTCCACAAGGCAAATGGAGTGCCTGCTTTCATGGCTTCGCCCAGTAAGTCATTGCGATAGTCATGCTCCCTGGAAGTTAAAAACAAAAGGTTATAATACATTCCTAAATAAAGAAATAATTCTTACTTTTTCTGCCTGCCGTAGTCAACGCTGCTTATTTTCGAGCCCTGGGAGCTGGCAATGCGGGGCATCATGCCACCTGTCATGCTCATGGCATCGTAGTTGGAGTCCACCTCGCTCAGTCCAATCGACAGGTTGCCAATGGACATCATGCTGGGCGAGCCGTCGGGCAGCGTATCCTTCACGCCCTTCACCTTCTCCTTTTTGCTGAAGAACCTTCCCAACGAGGACTTGATGCCCTTTTTCTTTTGCACAGCAGCGGCTGCAGCTTCCCTGGACACGCCCGAAGTAGGCGTCTGCAGCATGGACATGGAGCCCATGGTGTTGTAGTGACGCAGTGACTCCTGGCTGCCGTAACGAGAGCTTAGCGGCGACAGCCCGTAACTATGGCTGCTCAGCGGCATGTGACCTCCACTGTGGTTGGGCGCCACCGGAGCATTGGGATTGAGGCCAATCGAACGTCTCCTCAGTTCCTCCTGGCTGTGGGCCAAGGCCTGGGCCACGCGCTCAAGGCGCATGGAGCGTGCAGTCAGTGGCGAGGCAGCTCCGCCGGAGCTCGAATCACCTGTGGTGGACATGCCGCCGTGGAGCTCTTCGCGGGAGGCGTCACTGGACAGCACGGGCAAGTTGAGCTATCAGTGGGAGCGAAAATAAGTAGTTTATGAATAAATTATATTTTTTTACTTGTTGATGGTAAGAACCATAGATATTTTAAGCTTTCAAGATCTCTGAAGATCTTAAACATCTTTTTACTGAAACAGCTTATTTTCCTGCATTTTCTTTATATGACCTAAGCAAGCAACTTACCGTATGATACTTCTGCATAAAATCCCGTTGAGGGCTGTTGGGCGTGCTCCGCCCGCTCATGGGTGGACTCTGCCGGTCCATGGAGCGACCGCGGGCCAGCAGGTTGACGTGTTCCAGGCTGCCCACACGCGACTCCAGCTCCTCGGCCCGTGCCTCCGTCGACTGCTTCTCTTCCTGGATGAGGCGAATCTCATTGTTGATGGCGTCTAGCTGCTCCTGCAGCATCATGGCCAGCGTCTGGGCATCCGTGTGACCCGACGGAGACATCATGTCCGCCGTGGCCGCAGCATACAAGACATCCGAGTCGTCGCAATCCGCAGCACTGGCCACCAGCTCATAGGCCTGCTGTTGGGCATGCGCCGCCTGCTGCAACTTTTCCCACTCCTGCTCGGCCATGGAGCGGACCAGGGCGTTCTCCTCGGACAGCCGCTGTTTGCTCTGGCGCCGCAGCGAGTGCGTCTCGAAGCTGGCGTGCGAGT